AAACAAAATATACATAAAATTATATAAATAGAATACCAGACTGCATTTATACATATACGCGGTAACGCAATGGTAACTAAACAGTTAAGTAAATAAGTATAATGCACTGCTGACGGACTCACTGGTGAAAAATGTAACATGGTCAGTTGAATTGAATGAATGAAAACGAGTCGACAGACCACAGAGGATAACCTCACGACACAAACGCGCAAAGTTTAGAAGGAAGGAAAAGTACCTACTGATTGGAAGAAAAATAACCTTGTCAAACTATCAAAGAAGTGCGACTTTGGTGTTTGCAACAACTGGCGCGGAATCATGCTCTTGTTCCACGCTAAAGAAAAAAATAAGTCATGTCATCCGTAAGAGACTAGAAGATTCACTTGATTCAGAATTACGCTCCCCTCCCCGCCAAATCCCTGAGAACAAGCTGGATTCGCAAAAGGCAAATCATGTGCGGATAGAACTTGTGACTCTACGTATCATCAACATCAATGTCAGCAAGAAGTGCATAGCATGGCGGACAAATCCTTACCTACGTTTCATCGACTTCCGAAAGGCCTTTGAAAGCGTTGACGGAGAAATGATTTGGAAACTGTGTCAACACTACAGAATGTAGTGCTGCAAAACTTCATTCAACAAGTAAATGACAATGTCACATGTTGAGTTATCCACAACGGAGAATGCAGTGAAGTCTTCGAGGTGAATTCAGGATTTTGACATGGCTAAATACTATCACTAATGGAGTGGATTACGCGGAAGACTTTGCTTTGAGAGGAAGAAGACATGAATAAGTTGGAGTGACATGAAGTCTCATGAATTTACAAATTCTGAGGACTATTTCTGTATAACGTCATGTCAGGTTGAAAAAGATTTAGGGACATATAAATCCAAACCTGACAACAATCAGTGAAGACTTTGACTTTTGGTTTAAATCATACAGTGTAATGTAAACTGACTGATCGGTATCCTTAAGTCACCTAGAACTGAGAGCTGGAGACGGTTGATGTCATGTCTCAAAACCATTCCCGTCGGTAAAAATGCACTCATTTTTTGTGACCTCCCCACCTGTCGAATTCCTATTATTCTCAATATTGTTACCTTTCATCTTGTACATTTCCGTTCATCATAGCTAACTTTCACTTTCTTTCTTTTCTTCTACGTTTTATGCGGGAATTTCTGCATTGGGAGTGCATTACAGTCCATTTCTTTTCTTTGCTTTCATCATTTTTCACATGTGCACTATACATGTTAGGCATAGATAGACTTATACTGCTGGAATAAATCAGTTCAAAAATCTTTTAATCTCTATTACTAAAATGGTTGAGTATTAAATAACGCACTATGTACTTCAGTGTACTTTATCGGTGAAGGTAGGAATACATCGGAGAACGGAAAGATCCAGTCTTTTTGTTTTGAATCATAACTGAACGCATAGGCTCTTTTTTCTCTGAAGCTCACAAAAACCGAATGAATTTCTGATTAAACTGTCTAGGTAATAAAATCAACAGCTACAAAAATTGCTTTTTATTCCTTTGGGTTCCCAGTAGAACACAAGGCTTCAAGCTTTACCTTTAAAGTTTCAGTAGCAGTGGTGTTTTTAAAGGGATGGGTTGCTAGCCCCATGCCCAACCTGCCCTTTTTGTCGGTATTACAACCGGCTAAGTGTGCGCCAGCCGGGACTAGAACCCCATACCACGTGCATGGACAGCCAGCACCCTACTGCTGAACCACCGACGCACCCTGCAAAATTTACTTTACATAATTCCTGTTCCTTTCCTTCTGGTTGTACTGATCAAAAAGAATGAATGCATCTGCACTACTGACAATGACACGGAATAACGATTTGAATAAGTCACATAACAAGAAAGTTAAAATTCCAAGTCAATAAAAATGTTCATTACATAATAAAACCTGCACTGAATAGATGCTGTCTAGAAGGTAGACAACAAAAGCTTTGAAATGAAATCAATCAAATCCTCAGAGAATACAACTAAATCAAAATCATCCACCTAAGCTGAAAATCTCCTACAATTTTTCATAACCAAACAATCAACCAAGAAATAGAAATCGTCATGAGCTGACAGTAATTAGAGAACCATTGGATTCCATTGGTTCTCTAACTAATGTCAGCTCATGATGAAATCCTGTAACCAATGAAATACCTACAAACCAACACTTGAAAATAGAAATCATGTCTAAATAACTTATTCCTAAGGTTCTCATTGTTTGGTAATGAGTGGAACAGATGCAGATCTTCGAGGATAAATCAATTATCCCGACGGAAACATCAAAGGAGCAATAACATTCAACAGTTTACTCACCTGAAGACTTCTACATCTTAAATTGTAAGCTTTTCTTATTCGAATTAAACGATCCATTAGATCAGCTGATTCACTGGTGTTGGCATCGTTTGAAATCATTTCTTGATATAACTTTTCATGCTGGCATAACTGTTCACCCAATATCTATAAACAATTTTGTAATAACAACAGCAGAAATCAAAGGTTATTAAACTTGAAAATTCTTACGTAACTCAGGGTGAATATATTATTGTGAAAGTGAAGCTATGCCTCACTTTTAAAGCTTTTTGACTAATAAATGCCTAGTGTCATTGATTTTTACCCATATCATCCTAGAAGGAAGTATGACTACTAATCATGAAGAAATATGATTAGGGTTTGGACAGTGACAGTAGACTAGAGCATTGTCATTTGTTTGACTGTTAAAGTAACATTGAAATTAAAAAATGAATGAAAGATTCCATTTCTGAACGTAGAATTGAGAAGAAGACATGATGGAAATCTGAAAACATATATCCACAGAAAACAACTGACAAGTTTCCACGGTTGGATACCTGCCTGTTGATAAAGACCTCTCATCATCTCACTGGCCCACGGCATCAGAAAAATTCGCAGTATTGACTACCTCTAGAAGAAGAACATTTATTTCTCAAAAAAAAAAAAAAAAAAAATGTATACCCAGCACGCTACATGGAGGAGAACATGAAACCAAAGTAAAAAAAAAAAAAAAAAAAAAAAAAAACAAAGTGAACAAAAACTTTGAATCCGAAATTCAGGCGAGATTTAGTTGTAGGCATGCTTAAAATGAGAATCTGTAGTTCCCTAAAGAAAACCTTTCCTGAAGCAACTCTACAAGTGACATTCCCCAGTCGCCCACTGTTTCTAAGCCATGGGAAGAACAAAAAACCACATTTGACCCCTCCAATGTGCACATATCAGTTCACCTGCTCTCATGGAGGTCGTTCTCTGCATGTCTTGTCAAAATATCTTAGAGAACACAAGCCAGAATGGCTGTAAAGAGGAGGCACTGATGCAATCAGAAGCGCCATAATTGGACACCTCCTCAACATCTATCCTAGCACCTCAAATGACTCATCCATTATTCACAGTCATTTACAGTTAGTAAACGGAAATCTACCAGAAGAAGTGTGTTTCTGTCTTCTTTGTACAACAGAAGCCCTTCACCATATCCATCGAAATACTGAACCTACGTGTTCAGAAGGAAACTATCCCAACATCTACATTTACCATGGATCTAGTTCAATTTGATTCCTTAGTTTTCAGTTTTATTTTCCCATTTTCACTTATAGAAAGCCACTATTTCAGTTTGTACCTATGCTCATCCCATTCACGCCTATATTCGTTAAAAACCATTTTCTAATCCTGTATAATTTGGTTTCTAAGCCTCTTGTGATCAATATTCACATTCTTGGACTTTCAAACCAAGTTAACAATTATTATCGCACGTTTAACCTCCTGCTCTTACTCTGTTATTATGTGGAATTAGATGGCAATGACTGCATCTAAGTAAACTTATGCACATAAATGTGATTGTACAGCTGCGCTTTTGAGAACGGAATTGCGGAAAAGCAGATATCATTTCGCTAAACATCTTGTTCTTTTCTCTCTAATACTAAAGTAAATGCAACAGTATGTACCAGTTAAAGTCAGAGATGAGACAAAATTCACTGATGTGTGGTATTTTGTCTTTTTGTAAAACTCACTTCATTAGAGGAAATTGTTTGCATGCGACTCACACAGCTATTGTGTGAAGACTCAAAACTACGGTAGGTAGAGAGGGATTCGAGCGGAAGAGCTACTGGTTTTAAAGTGGATCATTTAAATCAGTGAACAACGTATCAACCGAATTATTTATCTGATATGTGTTCAGCTTTACATATTCATCATACAATGCAACCGCCATCATCATAATTGGAAAAGCAGAGAAAACCTGTAGCTTGTCGAATCCATCCAGACCACCAATAGGTCGTCACCAATTTGATACTCACTAACTGCTGCTGAAATTCTAGTGAGACGTCGCAACCAGTAGGGTGAACCAAGTGAAGCAACAAAATAGTTACTTGTATAACCAGAAGGTCCTGCGTTAGAGCCCCGTAATAGATACGTACTGCTGAACAGTCCTAAACTAGGAAAAGAGTAGCTAAGATGGATATCAGGTTTGAGTAAAGTTATGCTGATCGCCATTGAGATGAGTGTAAGCGCTCGACACTCAACCAGCTCGAATCCCCTGGCTAACAGATTTGTATCATCACTCTTCAAAACGACAACTGTGTGGTTTCATAGCCTATAAAATGAAATATCACTTTCCAAGGATTAACTTCAGACAACATGATATCTCGAGAGCAGAAAGTGACTTAGATTTCCAGACAAACACACAACTCACCGAATGACTTGAATCCACAGATTGAACGAAAGCTATATCACCGGCGACCGAAACAATGCTCACATACTGTTGATGACTGAAACTTGAATATAACGATTTCAACGATTGTTTGTTGCATTCCTCATTCCATGACTCAGTGCTATTGGAAAATGGCTGTTCAATATTACTATCAGCATTGTCATCTGTTATACTTGTGTGAGCATTTCCCGATGAATGTTCGATAGATTTTAGTCCACTGTGAATACTCTCAATACCAAACTGTTTTTCTACAGAATGTAGCCATTCTTTTAGACATGAAATTGTCGACTTCTTATTTCGAGCAGTTAACGATGATTTCTCCATTTCGATTTGACTGCAAAAAATAAAGGATAAGTTTAATAGATGGAAAAACAGAACAACGAAGCTATTGAGAATGCATAAAATTCCAAAGGTAAACAAATCTGGCTGATTACAAGGCAAACAATGGCAACACAATGTGTATGAAATATAATTTCCCTAACTGAGTGATGTATTAAATAATACTTATATCATGCCACTTTCATTAATAATAAGTATAGTAATAGGATATCATCATGAGCTGACATTAGTTAGAGAAGTTAGAATTCATGGGCCACTGGATCGAGTCCCAGCGGCTTTATAGAATACGAGCTCGCCTTGTACCCAGAAGGTCCTGGGTTCGAACCCCGGTAGTTGCATGCTGATGAAGAGTCCAAAACTAGGACGAAACAGCTACCCAATACTCCCAGGTTTTCCAATGGTTCTCTAACTAATGTCAGCTCATGATGAAATCCTGTAACCAATCACATCCCTACAAACCAGCACTTGAAGTATAGTAATAATTTGCTACTACTACAGTTCAGATGAAGGTAAGCTATGAATTCAATTATCCTATTGGGACATCATGAGTCTAGGCTTTCGTTTCATTGTGACCTGATAACTGTGCGTCGGTGGTACAGCGGTTAGGATGCTCGCCGGCCGTGCACATGGTCAGGGGTTCGATCCCCGGCCGACGAACTTCTTTACCTCGCTAAATCAGAAATAATACTGGTAAAGAGGAAAGATTGGTCTTGAGGCTAGCAACCCCATTCTGTAAAATAAACTCTGCTACAGAAACTTCAAGCCTCTAGCTTGAAGCCTTATGTTCGACTGGGAACGTGTAGGAAAGAAAATAATTTGGTTTATTCTAAAACAGTACTTATGATACAATGTGGAATTCTTAGCATTTGGTACCATATTACTGTATGTAATTTACTCAACAGCAGTGAAACCAAAAATAAAAAAATAATATTACAGGATTGATATTGGCGGTTTGTTTTGGTATTCGCGATGACAATAAAGTCAAAAATGTACAAAAGTGTGCAAATCATAAAGTCAATAATAGCTAGGTTACCATAGATTACAAATAGGACAGAATAAAAGAGTCGATTAATTTTGCTCATAACATAGTAAGTCAGAGGTTTCCAGCTTAGCATTATCTATATCACACAGAATGCCGGTGGGACAAATAGGGTATAGTTGACTTTCTGTACTTGGTTGTGCTAGTGAGCATATAATGTTTTATAATGACTTATATTCTTATCCGATGTGATGCAAAGCGGAGAGAGGTGTGCATAGAGAGTGGGTGTTGAGAGTAAAACAGTATGGATTTAGACTATTTCTAGCATGAGTTTATACGTCTATCGACTACAATAATGACGAGCTGACTTAATAGTAGACCACTAGTCCTACTGGCAGCCCTTAACAGTCTTCTCTTTAGTATGAAGGAGTCCTTTTTAAGTAGATCAGAAACTACTAATAGGTAGCAGTTAAGGGTAATAGGCGAAATTCAAGAATTAACAAATGGTAAAAGTAGAATTCGAATGATGCCTTCCTGATTGTCTTAACTTCTTAATGTAAAATCATATGGAGTTATAAGAATACAGATTCTCCCTGAATCACCATTGACAGCATTTAGCAAAAAATATCAATACTAGCGAAGATTTGAAGATCAATTGAATACTTCCCATGTTTTTCTTTTTGTTAATTCCTTTACTTTCCCAGTGGAACATTGGGCTTCAAGCTAGAGGCTTGAAGTTTCTGTAGCAGTGGTGATTATTTTACGGGATGGGATTGCTAGCCTCATATCCAACCTACTCTCTGACTTACTAGTTAGTTAAGCTACTGTGCTTATCATACATATAAATAAACATTTAACTAAACCTATCTTCCTTTAACGATTCTCGATGAAAAGAATTAAAGTCTAAGTATTTATATATTATTAAAGTGTGTCAGTCGATTTCCTGTACATACTAGCTGCTATCTAACCCCTACCGCTAACCACTCTATCTACACTTCAAATCAACAGTCGAATATAATTTAAATTACGGAAGTTTAACAGATCAAGGATGCCGAAATAAACATGTCCCAGAAATGTGTTTACGAGAAAAGTGTATTCCTTTTCTAGTGGATTAAAAGATTAAATAACCCTTTGATAATCATAATAATTGTCCCTATTTAGAGATTAAATATAATGCATATATACATAATTACAGAATAAGAGTTAAATGTAACACAGGTGTTAACAGTAAGACACATGTATGTACACACTACATCAACGACCATTCTAATATAACATTCAAAACATGCATATTTTAGGCAATTTTTAATATATTGCACGATTGTATAAATTGCATTTATGTATTTCTAAAAGACAAAGGCAACAGTAATCTTAGTAGATTAGTAGCAGGTACAAGCCTTAGAAGTAGAGGAAGAGGACCAACAACGCCAACACCAGTAAGACCAGAACACTAGATACATAATGACAGAATGCATTACAAAGCGTGCAGATAAATCCATATAGACATAGATATACATTTTAAAAAAAAAGGTTAAAAAGTCTAAGTGTATAACACTGTTTAATAACATATGAAGGATACCAATTGTTGCATGCAATGTATACACATATACAGATTGCATTCATACTATTAGTATAAACTGTTTAGTTGACATGCCTTCTTACCAATTAACTTGAAATGAATACCAGCCCGATTCTTCAAGAATACACTAAAATCATACCATTAGCATACACAAATATACATGTATATATATATATACACCAGAACAAGATGATTTTGAGTGAACAAGTGTTCTGGATAACTTCTTCCTCAGCTTCTACACAATTATAAATCCTGAATATTAGAATACAAATAGCCAGTGAAGGCGAGTGAAAATTATATCAGAAACTGCCTGTATTCGTGTACATATATATAAGTCACAGAATTAAGCGCATATGTTGGAAGGATTGTATTGAAGATGTAATCGAAAATCTTGAAAATACCTTGCCAAAAATTAGTTATCCTACCATTTTTGTAAAGAAGTATATTTCTAAAAGAACTGATAAAATCGAACCAGTTAATAAGAAAAAGCTTTATTTAAGAGTACAGTTCAAAGGTGGTGTATTAAGCCGTAGGTTGGTTAGGTTAATTGAAAGTACTTTCAATGCTTCAGAAGTACACATCGGTTTCTCAACCACACAGACACCGATACAGTGCACCAAAGATGAATTACCAAAGATGGACACATCAGTGTGTCTATACAAATTCAACTGCTCATGTGGAGTTAGTTATGTGAGTAAAACTCAGAAAATTTACCCTTGCGCTCCACTGAACATGTTCCTGTTTCACCTGGAAAAAGTGTGACTAAATCAATAAATAGTCTCATCTAGTGGATTGTGAACATTACATCAAAATAGAGGAGCCTAAAGGCATACGATTACGTCTCTTAGCTACACCGATAGGTATGAAAATTAATACGAAGAAACCTAACCTACGTGTGGAAGAGAAGCACACTCATTCTGTTTGTTTACCCTGATCTACTGTAAGGTCAGCAGGGACTTCATCATCTCATACTTTCACATCGTATTACGCCTTTCTTATTCCTTTTCACCTAGTTCACTTCACTCCATTATTATCCCTATTATGTGTGGACCTTATTATGTCTCTAGTATTTTATTGCAGTCCACAATTTAATCTCTCTGTTTTATTCCATATTAATTTCCATATTAGATATATCACACACAGGGTGAAACAGTATTACTGTTTACTGGATGACAAGGTTTCGAAAACAGTTAATTACTCACTTCAAATTTGGAGGAGGATGAAGGTACATCCAGACGACGAGTCCTAAATAGGACGAAGTGCACATCCTGGATTCCACTGCTAGTCACCACCCACCAATTAACAGTTTACTATTGTTCACAATTATTTCAGTTATAATCACACAACTTAAAAAGCTTTCGTTTTATAATTTTCTTTATTCTTTTCTGTTCGTCATCGTTGGGGGTAGTAGAATTTTCTAGAATCCCTACTGGACAGGTGTTGAATCATTCCTATGACGTGTATTTGCAGTTGATTCGATAAACAAAGCTTCTGTCATCAATCTCTCCCTCCACCCTGTGACATTAGATTTTAAAACTGTCATCTTATACCATCACCCTATTGTATGGTTGCGTGTAACTGCATGCAGTGAGTGTTAAAGCTGAACTATTCTCTAGATTTCTTATCTTATTCGGGTCAATTAATCTAGATTTCCCTAGGTTTCTATGCTCCGCTAGTTTGAATGCACCTGTTCTACTACTCTGACCTATTTATTTGACCTGACAATCGTTGCAGGTAGATTATTATTTATTATTATTATTATTGTATCCTTTAGTTCCTAGAGGAATATAGGGCTTCAGCTGCGCACCTCCATTGCCTTCGGTTTCCTGACAACTTTTTCACCCTGCTCCAGGTCTGTCCACATGCTTTCATCTCCTCCTCGCATGACCTCCTCCAAGTCACCCTTGCACTGACGACCAACTCGCCGCCTCCCTTTCGGGTTCCACTCAAGAGCTTGTCTAGTGATGTCACTTGATGGTTTCCTCAGCGTATGGCCAATCCATCTCCATTTCTTTCTGCCTATTTGTTTCACAATCGGTTCCTGATTGGTTCGCTCCCAGAGATCCCTGTTGCTGATCTTTTCTGGCCATCTGATCTTGAGTATTGAGCGGAGACAGCTGTTAATGAAGGTTTGAAGTTTGTTTGAGATGCTCTTTATGACTCGCCAAGTCTCTGATCCGTATAGTAGCACTGACTTCACATTGGAGTTGAAAATTCGGATCTTATTTTTGATGCTGAGTGCTGTTGACCCCCAAGCAGACTTAAGGGTAATGAAAGCTTGTCTTGCTTTTCCGATTCTGACTTTGATGTCCTCGTCAGTTCCGCCTGTAGTTGAGACGATGCTTCTCAGGTAGGTGAAGGAGGTTGTTTCTTTCAGGTTCTTCCCACTTATGCTGATTGTTGTCTGTTGTTGATGTTGTTGCTGTTGGCTAGGAATCTTCATCACCTCTGTTTTATCTATGTTCACCTGTAGTCCTATCTTTGATGCTTCTTCTGCCAACTTGTTACTTTTCACTTGCATATCTTCCAGTTTATGGGAAATCAGACATATATCATCGGCGAAATCCAGATCCTCCAAGTCTTTTGTGTCAGTCCATTTTATGCCTGTTTCCTCATTGCCCGCCACTGTCTGTCGCATTATCCAATCAATTGCAATCAGGAAGATCATTGGTGATAGTAGACAGCCTTGCCTCACTGCCGTCCTCACTTCGAAGGCCTCCGTAAGTTTCCCGTTGTGGATTACTTGGCATGCAGCATTGTCGTATAACTGTTGGATGAGATGTATAATTGTCGATGGGACCCCGTAGTAGCGAAGTAGTTTCCAAATGACCTCTCGATCGACGCTGTCGAAGGCCTTTTCAAAGTCGATGAAGTTGAGATAGAGAGGTGACTGCCATTCCAAGCTTTGTTCAATGATGATCCGTAGAGTGGCGATTTGATCAATACATGATTTGTTTCTCCTGAATCCGGCCTGTTCCGGACGAAGTTTTTCATCTAGGGCTTGTTTGATTCTCTCCAGGATGATGCGACTTAGTATCTTGCTTGGAATGGACAGAAGCATAATTCCACGCCAGTTTTCACATTGACTTAATTCTCCTTTCTTTGGAAGTTTGAATAAGTATCCGTTCTTCCAATCCTCGAGTATTAGATAAACTTAATTGTTATGTATAATTAACTTCACAAGATCCTTTATTCAACAAAGATTATTTTTCACTGAGTTTGTGGGTTTGAATGCCACTTCTATCCCTCCGTTGTTAAGAATTCTCTGTAAGGTTTTCGGGGTTCCTTCTTTGTATGGAAGTACTACTGATGATTTATATTCTCTATTGTTGGTGTTGTCATTATCCTGAACATGTTTGAAATGCATGTCATCATTACTATTATTATTATTACCAGTATTAGTGCCATTTTTATTAACTTTATTTTTACATTTTTCTACATATTCCCTGACTAATTTATCAGGTTGATTATTAAGTTTCAAAACTTCTCTTATATGCCTCGCTTTCTGTCTTAGATTTTCCTTGGTAACATTTAGTTTTTGTGCCCTATTACTTAACCATTTCACTAATCTTACTTTTACTGACACATTGGCCACTACACTTAGCATCCGTCAGTCCTTACTTGAACTTACATTGAGTGTTCCTCATATATTTGGTATTTATTTGTATGCATTTGGCGGTATTCATATTTCTTCCACCAAGCCTGATGAAATTTATATTCTGTTAACTATAAATATATTAGGTCATGTGAAGAGGAGATGAAAGCAGACTTGGAGCGGGGTGAAAAAGTTGGCAGAAAACCGAAGGCAATGGAGACGCGCAGCTGGAGCCCTATGTTCCTCTAGGAATTAAAGGATATAATAATAATAATGTCACCCTTTTCCCTATTCACACTTCATCTTATGTTTTGAATGCATTCAGAAGACAATATTAACTAATAAACAGTTATTCTATCCTATATACGTGCCCCAATACAGTTTCTGATATAATTTCCACTCGCCTTCCCCGGCTATTTGTATTCTAATATTCACTGTAGAAACTGAGGAAAAATTGTTCACTCAAAATCATCTTGTTCTGATAGCACCATGGGGATTGTGAATATATATATATATGCATAAATGTTTAAAAAGGAGATTAGGGAAAGAAGATCTTCTTTTCGATGAAGTCATCAATTAGATAGCCAAATGTAAATTCGTCTGTATTTACTGTTTAAATGAGTGAGAAAATTTCAAAACTATTTCCAATCGAGGTTCAAATTAATAAGATTGCAAATAGGGATTTAAAAACGTACAAAAGAAACATGAATAAACAGAAAAATTGGATAAGAAAGGTAATAGGAAAATCACTGTTGAGAACATTGACCTTTTATGATGACCACGTTAGAAACAACGATTGGACATATTATCTGTTGAATAAATATGGTTGGCTTGAACTTATGAATTACCGGTGCCTCAGCTATGCCCAGATGCCATGAATCCATTCCCTATGGGGGGTTCGATCGGATCTTTTATATGATTTTGAAGCAATTTCCTCAAATGATATTTACAAGTCAATAGTAATACTGAAGGTAAGACTATACTAAATCAACAAAGTGCCTTGTTAATAAATGAATAGGCTTGCTCAATGACAGATTAACAAAGATGTGCTCAACATTCCCTTCAAAACAATCATCCGTCTGAGTGTAGAGAACCCCACAAACACATAAAATATCACGCCTCACAATGACTAATCATTAAAGAATGTTGAATCCAATGAACACCACTGAATTTTCAATCTCTTATACAAAGATATATATATTTATATATATGTATATGTATATATATATTCATTCAGCAGGAAGGCAGTTTTCCAAGAAATGCATGCAACGTGTTTTCGTTGATAATTTTCATCAAAGCTAAAAGAACAACATTTGCAGTATAAAATGTATGCGTTCTATTTTGTGGCTTCTCTTCAACTGCAAACAGCCTATAATATACATTGTATTAACAGGAGTTGAGAGCATGAAAATCCCAGTTTACGGATTCTCTTATCAGCACACCATTGAACGACACTGAATAGAAACAGAACAACAAATAGATATTCAAACTGCTTTTACTGTATTATTAATAAACAAGGAAACTTAATGTGTTACTTCAGTTTGCTGAATCAGTGGCCATCAAACAAGCCAAGTCTAATTTGTGTATATACAGAAAGAAACAGTGACTAAATGTATTTCATCCTGTCAACGTTTTTTCTCCACTTATTACCTATTTGTGTGTTTTTATGTGACCCACTAATCTTTACTCATATAACTGATTTTCAGTCACTTTCAAATGCTTACCTGTACGGTGTTATGTAGAGTTTTCCCCTGTACTGCTGATCTGAGCAAACTTATGATTGATAATCACTTTCATTTCTGTCCTACTGGTAACTATGACTATACCCATTACATTTCATGCATTCTCATCTCCCTAAATTAAGATCTTAATACCAAATCTCGGGTTACAGAATAAGAAGAATGGATGTTCTTCTTTTATTTATATCATATATGTATATATACCAGGTTGTCTGCAGTTGAAGAGAAGCCTCGAAATATAATGTGCACAGTTTATACTTCAAATTCTGTTCTTCCTGCTTACTGGTAGATGGCAGCCGACCAGCGGTGGAGGAGTCCAGCACAACTCTCATTTCGTCACACTATTTGGGACTCCTCCGTTAGTGTATGTAGCTGCATTCTCCAGTAAGCCAGCAGTAATGTTCCCACTTAGACTCCAACCCAGTTCTCATAGTTTCAAATGCCAAGGCGTTATCCACTAGACAGAGCAATTGGGCTACAACAGCCACCTCTTTCTTGTACAATACAGATATCCCTTATTAGCGAGTTCAATTTGGACTTTTCCAGTTAATTGAATAAATTATTCAATCAAATACATCTTGTGAATAAACACTTACCAAGTTGACAGTAGTGATGCAAATTCACATTTCAGTGTTGTTAATTTATCAAGCATATCAGTGAGTATATTCTTTTCTGGATCTGAAATTGTACAACGTTCTCTCAGATTTCCACCCATTCGCATAACTAACCAATAATCAGATTGTCGTTGATTAAACTCTTTTAGCTACAGTTAAAGACAAAAATAGAGAAAATAAGTGACTCAACAAAATTGATCAGTTTCACTAAGCTGAATGCACGCCGTTTGTAAAAAAGAGATCTATTACATCTTATATTAGCTACCACAGAGCGAAAAGTGATAATCTGACACCGAAACGGAGAATCATAAAAGCTAATAGCTAGTTGTTTTATTAAACCACGTTAGGATGAAATCTGCGTCAGTGGTAGACCGGTCAAATGGAAGCCAACCACTCCTCGCATGGCCATTGGCCAACACACTCCTAGACGTCGTCTTGCCACCAGTAACTCCTTTAAATATACTAGGTTCATTATGAGGCTAGCAACATCACGCCCTAAAAATAAAAACAATCCACCGCTACTGAAACTTCACAAGTGAAGCTTGAAGCCCTATGTTCCATGTTGAACGTGAAAGATGAAAAGGTAAAAAATAAAGTTACCCAAAAAAGACTATTTTCGCACAGTTTAGCCACCTTGTAAAGCAAATAAACTTTACCTCAATACTGAACACTTCAAGAAAGCGTCAAAACTGCTGAATAAATGTATCTTATTTATTAAATGGATCATCCTTCTGTAGCAGACTAACGCACAATCAAACTGCATAGTCAAACATTCCGAGACTATGGACAAACACCGAAGCGGCTGAAGAGGACTGCAGAGGGTAGAGCGAATTACAGACGTGCTGTTGAAGCCTTGTATTCCACTCGGAACCCAAATGGAACAGTACTAATAATAATAATAAGTAAACCTAAGCACATTTTCATAATGTCCAAATTGAAGCTAACCAAATGTATACGCCATTAAATTTTTATTGTTCCAGTGTGAAACTATTTGAAAAAATACAGTATTACGAGGGACTTGTGTTAAGTAGTCGTGTTGAAAAGCCTACCCCTCAAGGGAACAAATGCTCACAATAGTGCCATTACCGGATATTTCCTTGATGTGGATAATGAGGTGGAAATCTCAAATTCCTTTCAAATTATCAATAGGCGAAAAAGCTCAATCCTCCTCAAGTTTGCCTAAGCAACGCCTGAAACCCAATTTATGTGTTCAGAAATAGGCAGTTACCTGTCTCTCCTTGCCCTGCTGTAGCTGGATGTCTTTATTCTCTCTCTCTTTCCTTTGATTACGCAATCTTTGACTGTAATCTCATCCCCTTTTTGTTATAGTGCAATTTTTCTTGTCTCTCATTTCTATGGTTTGAGTTGAACTCAGTATATTGTTACCCACTTTATTATTCACTCATTATCTTAGGTACCTATCGTCTTGGTTACGTAACTCCTGTACTATTGTATGCATATATTTACTTTGTTTAAACTTGAACTCCCTGTATAGAAACTATGTAAGCGTATCTCTCTGAGCACCATTCACTTAGTTCGAACTTCATGTCAACTGACATCATGTAAAATTTGCAAGTATGTTAAAACTTTTCTGTAAATTAACTTATAATAATAATTTATCGAGAGTGTAAGCAGCTGATGAGAAGCCAACGAAATAAACAATGATGATAACATCGTCTTATTCTGCAAAAGCTATTGTTCTAGCTTTATAGAAATTCATAAAGTGGACTAAATGTGTGAAGTAGTTTAGTTCATTTGAAGCGCAATATGTAGTGGTTTAAGTGAATGCATCTAGTTCACAAAATGCTGACATCAGTCAGCTACATAACTTAGTTTCAATCTACTATTTTTTTCAACTGGAGGCTTGCATTGTCACGTTAAACCTTTCGTCGATGATTTGGCAGTCGAATTCTAGCGAGCCTTGTACAATGCACTCTTAAACCTTATCTAACTAGCAGTAAGCTCGACAAAGGAAGAAGGTTTAGCCTGAGGCTATAAAGAAAGTAACACCATTGCTACTGTAAATTTCAAAGCTTGGAGTCCTATATTCCACTAGGAGCATAAAGCAATAAAATTTGAGGGAACATTACTACATTCTATGGTACTTTAAACAAAGTAATGCAATATGTTTTAGTGATTGGCATATGTAGCATGAAGTCGTTCACACACTGCCCAATACACTGCACAACAGTCAAGTTGGTTTCATGATTGAACAAATTTCATGGTGAATTTCGATTCATTCAACTGACAAAGTAGAGTTATTCGGAGTGATAAACAACTCCAGCTGTCATAAATTAAAGATTAACTTCTGTATAATTATTTCGCTATAACACTGTCTGTAGGTTTGTGTTTTTAACACCCTTTTTATTATACCAACCTTATAAGTACCAAAGATTTTATGTTAGCAGTTTACTATCAGTTTTAAGCAAGTGTTCATCAGTCCACTTATAATTGCACTAAACGTCATCTAGTATGTTACATCACCTTAGTTATCATCAAAAGGGTATCAATGCATTGGCATTATAACATGTCATTGTTTTGTGAAGAATACACAATAAAGTGCAGGTTGAAGAAAAAGTGTATGAATGAAAAGTTATAACAATCCACTCACCAAAGTCTTAATTGACGCTTGAATCTTTTCATCATATACAGTATGCGCATTGTAAGATTTCAGCACTTCAACGTTAGTTAGGAACCACTCCATTAAACTATGGTAAGCTGTATCAAACTGGAAAACAAAGTGAAGGAAAAATGATAAACAGAAACATTTTTTTAAGAGTTTTCACCGAGTACAGTAGTGTTTGTATTACGTAAAAATGAGCAAATAAGCTGACTCAGTTGGCTAATCTGTGATAATGTTTAAACGGTGGGCACGTGGAAAACCTTTATTATTACTGATATTATCCTATTGGCTTCCAAGTGGAACACATCTCTGTGGTCCTCTTCACCTAGCCCCATGACTGCCCATAAGCTTTCATCTCCTTCACACGCCATCTCCTCCATGTGGCCGTAGGATCCACACCCAACTCGTCTTTTCTCATGCTGACGCATGATGTCAGCTGACGACTCCCTCAATGCGTCACCAATCCCTCTCCACTTTCTTCAACATATTTGTTGACCAATAGATTCTTGATTCGTTCGCTCCCAGAATTTCTTGTTGGTAATTCATTTTGGCCGGCCAAAATATTTTCAATTTGTAGCCACCGAAGGCAGATGTTATTGGAAATCTGCAGCTCACTGTTAAAAATGCTCTCCGTAATACGTGAGTCAAGTTTTGGTCTTTATGGAAGAACTGCCTGACTTAGAATCGGTGTTAAAATTCTGAATTTTAATGTTACACTTTGGAGTGTGGAAGATTTCCAGATTGATTTCACATTGGTGAAATTCTGTCCAGCCCTTCGGATCCTATCTGGCTTTGACTTCCTCATTGGTGTTGTCACCTGTATTTCAAACGATGCTTCTCAGACAAGTGAAGGGAATGACATCTGTCAAATGTCTTCCGTTGATGGTGATTGGTGCTTGTTGTTGTTGGTGCTTTCCCAAACCTTTATCAACCTCATTAAACAGCTGTTTGACAATACCACATGTCAAGTGATCTACAACAGAAACTTAGAGAGTTTTTTTTAATTGAATGCAGGAGCAAGACAACGCTTCCCACTACCAACAATGATATTCTTAATTGTGGTGAACTGGATCATGTAGGAGACTGTGTGGAGAATGGAGTCAAGAATTCGTTGGACCGGTTAGACGACTCTAGAAGATCGGAATTTTCGAATGATTTATACTTAAAGTCACACAAACTCGGATTTCGACAGGAGAAAAGCAAACAAGTTTTCAGGAGAAACAAACTGTGAAGACAGGAGGACTTTAAGCAGACACAGGGAAGACAAAGTTAATGAAGCTGCCTAGCCAACCACAACGGTCATCAAACACTGTCAACAGGATAATTTCAAAAGACATCACCTCTCTGACTTATCTAGGCAGTATCGCCCTAAATGCAGGTGGTACAGATGAGGATGTCAAAAGTAAGATCAGACATGGAAAGCAAGACAGACCTACAATAATTTAAAATCAATGTGGTAATCTTCTCAACTTTACATTTATTATTATTAGTGTTCCCTTGGGTTCCTAGTGGAACATAGGGCTTCAACTGCACGTTCCCACTTGCTTCTCTCTTCTACTGTGCTTTTCACCTGCATCCATGTTAGTCTATACTGTTTCAACTCCTCTTCACACGATCTCCTCCATGTCACCCTTGCACTGACGTCCCAATCGCCGCTTCCCTTTCGGTCTGGTTCCACTCGACCAATGGCCTGACGCGCGCGCGATGTCACCCAGTGCGATGCCTTCTCAGCGAGCAAGTGTCCAATTCATCCATCTCCACTTTCTCCTGAATATTTGTTGGTTGGCCGATTGGTTCTTGTTTTGTTTTGTTTGTTCCCATACTTTCTTGTTGGTGATTCTTTCCGCCCGGCCATCCGATCTTCAGTATAGAGCGAAGACAGTTAGTTGTTGATAAAGGTCTGCAATAGCCTGTTGGAAATATTCTTTGTGACCCACCCACTAAGTTTCTGATCCGTATAGAAGAACTAACTTGACCTTTGTATTGAAATTCCTACCGAATTTTGTCGTTGATGATGAGTGATGAAGATTTCCAATTTTACATAAATAACAGGATTTGGACACTATGATTTCACACTAATGCCAAATTTATCAAATTCTATATTCTTTACAGACGTGGAGTAAAGCATTTCTAGCCGATGACTGCCAACTTTTATTAGCAGCTGCATTCGCTCGATACTGAACATCGGATTGCCAGAATGGAATAGCAACAGGGAACTCTGACAGCAACTCAACATACTTGCTGAAGGAAATGAAGACAGATCATCCACACACTGAGAAGACGGATGAGTGAAGTGATGAGCCAGATGAGCACTCTAGTGGAATGGGAAATGGTAAGTTGAGCACCTGTCAAAGAGTAACTTGGAGGAGATAGGAGTTTATGGCCAATAGAGTGGTCAGCTAAAGAGAAGGACAGGGAACTGGACGAAGTGGAGATGTTCTGCTGAGGTTCTTTGTTTCACTCAGAATCCAAGGGAATAATTATGCTAATAATACACAGTGAAATTACATAAACACAAAAACATGTAATTTAAGGTTGAATCTTATCTTTTCATAATATTTACCGTACCTCTTCGAATTTAACTGGCATAAATGTGTTGTTTAATCTGATCTTACTGATTCTTTGGCCTTCATACACAAAACAACTAATAACAAATTTTTTTTATCACGTGTACAGTTTACTTCCAACGAAACAAATTAACCACCACCACCACCACCATCAACAACAACAACAAAACAACACAAATACAACTGCAATGACTATGCGCTTGCTTACCTTAGTATCTTCCTTTAATGCTTGTGTTAGAATCTTTTGCCGTTCTGTTGCTCGACGTAATAAACAGACAAAATTGTGTTTAGTATCTTTGATAGTTGCAACTGCTCGTGATACTTCATTGGTACTACATACCGATTTCAGCAGAGGTAGTGAATCATACAGACTGACTACTAACACCTCATATTCTTTCAGTTGATCAATAACATTCTAAAAAAAAGAAAGACGGGCAAGAAATGAAGAAAATAAGTCGGTAGTTATTAAAATGAAATGAACTTTAATGAATTAAGGTATACATATATATAAATGGTGTCAACGTTGGTGAACATTTAATGGTTTGTTTATTCGAGTTGGTGTCCACACTTGGCGGGAGACAACAATGTTGACCGTTTGATTAGTCATATGCTTGATTAGCGGATAAGTGGAGAAATATGATCACTTGTATTGTACACTGTACATTTTCTTTTAACGTTTCTTAACAGACTTTGAACACATAAACTTATAATCCTGTTTCGTAATCTGTGGAGAAATAAACAGTTCTACTGTCCTTCCGCTTTCTCATATTCCGCCTTGGTTGCTATGCGCATAGTATTCAGCGTGTTAGGCATAGTCTTCTGAAATCATTGATAGGCTCAGGATTTTCACGATCTGCACAATTCACATATGCGTTAAAATCAAATTCATATTAAATGATCATGTGTATCCCTTGTCATTCTGTCATATGTAATATGATGCTGCAGGACGTTTCTGCACGGAATCTTAGTTTAAGGATAAGAATTAAATTTGAAAATATTAAATAATCCTATAGTAGACTTTAGAACTACACATGTATACGAACAATATTGTTTTCAGGATTTCATCATGAGCTGACATAGGTTAGAAAACCGCTGGAAAACCTCGTAGGACTGAACAGTATATAAGGTGTGAGGATAGATACTCGCCGATGACACTGGGTAGTAGTCAAGGCATATCGTGAATTGAAGAAAACAAAAGACAGATTCAGCGAAGAAAATTTTCTTTATCGACGAAGTCATCTTCAGAGGCTGTACAGTCGTATTTATACTTACAAAAATATATAGTGGTCTATTATTGAGTAATAGGGGGTGACATAATTGATATAATTAATCATAAGTGGCTTTAGAAGTGGAAATTAGTATGATAGAGAAGATTTGTAGCTCAGGTGGATGATTTTGATGGTTCTCTGAGCTGGATGTTAATTTGCGAAGTGTCTTCTAGGTTACTTGTATTGGAACTGACTGTTTCTTTGATGAACTTTGACAGAAGTGGAAATTAAAAGTTAAAAGTTGTAAATTACATGGTACTCAACGGAACAAAGATAGAAGTTTGATAAGGTTAAAATTGCTATTGAATGAGAATAAAGGTGGTATTTGAGTGTCAATTTAACAAGTGTGAAGAGGGTGTGAAAATATACAAAAGGAGCATATGAAATTGATAATAGTGAATGAATTATTAAAGCAAAAGCAAACTAAAAGTAAAATTAAAGATTAAGAACAAAAGAAAAAATCAAAAATGTTTTACAATGAACGATTAGTGAAGAGGTTAAGACCAAGATAGAATAAGAGACTGGACAAACTTTTTCTGTATACAGAGTTCAGGGTTGTATTGATGATCTGCATAAGCGATTCTTCAGGATCTCAGCTGCAATGTCACCTTTAAATTCAACACTCATAAAGAGCAGTTTCTTCGGCGCCGTCTGGACTCTTTCAGGCTTTTCTCTTAACTTCATGTTTTTCTCGATAAATCTTGGAGGATAACCATTCTCTATGAGAACTTCTAAAGCCACTTATGAATAATTGGATCAATTATGTCCCCCACTATTACTCAATAATAGACCACTATATGTTTTTGTAAGTATAAATACGACTGTACAGCCTCTGAAGATGATTTCGTCGATAAAGAAATTTTTCTTCGCTGAATCTGTCTTTTGTTTTCTTCATGACTCACTGAGTATTTTCTGTGATATCGTGAATTGGCAGAAGTTGGAATTCATGGGCTGACCATTGTGTCGAGTCCCAGGCGGATGCTTCATGGTCCACCAGCTTGGCACTTTGTAAACCGATGGTTTTAAGTTCAAACCCCGTTAGTGGATGGGTGCGTACTGTTGAAGAATTCAGAATAGGCTGACAAAACAGATGTCCAGTACTCCAGTGCTGATTTTCCAATAGTCTACTAACTGAATTCACCCCATGATGAACTCCTGTGACGAGTCAAAACCCTGCAAATTTACACTTGAATATTGTTATCACTTAGATCTCATAAGGTTTAACTCTAATATACCTAATATACTGTCATTAGGACTATAAGATTGTGGATATAAGTTATGCAATTAGCTTTAACAACAGTAATAATAACGATTCTGCCAATAAAAAAGATGAAAAAGTGGAGCGATCTTCAAGCAACTGGCTTGAAGTTTCTGTAGCAGTGGTGTTTTATTTTTACAGGATGGGGTTGCTAGCCCCATACCCAACCTTTCCTCTTTACCAGGATTATTGCTTGCTTAGCGAGGTAAAGGAGTGCGTCGGCCGAGTATCGAACCCCGGACCATATGCATGGTCGGCGAGCGTCCTAACCGCTGTGCCACCGACGCACAACATGATAAGACTAAGGGATATAATAAGACTAAGAGAAGTACTAAAAATACAAATAGACGGTGGTGGTGATATCATCAGTTGGTTGGGTCTTAATTGGCCAAGAGAGGGATAACGGTAGTAAAACTTCTTTTGAACGCATAGTTTAGACTTAATAAGTCGAATGCCTATCGCCTCAGCTGTATGCAGCAGACAAATGAGAAATTCATTGAGAATATTCAGTTGAACGCGTTGGCTAACCTTGAAAGCTTTCATTTCTTTCCACTAAATGACCACTACTAAGTAAATATGACAGAATGGAGTTATGGGTAACATTTCTGTGTCCTTTCTCAAAGCCACGACTGTCTGTCTGTTTTCGACATAGAACTTTGCACAAATGTGCGGAAGTTCAAGTCGCCACATTCCGTGTAGCACGCGAAGCAAGAGAAGAAAGTACAAGAAAAGCATAATAGAAACAGTGAGCAGAGGTGTGAGACAAAGGAGTAATAAAGAAATACAAAACAATTTCATTGAAGATCATAAGTCACAGGGAGTGGATGCATCTGCGCCACTGAGAACGATTTTGAGCCATGTCACCAATTGTTTCCAACCATAGATTTTTGCCGTCCCGAGGACCCCAGCCTGGAAGTCTACACCTTCCTACGCGGCTAAGACCAACTGTTGTGGATTTCATTGACTGAAGCCAAGTTTTTGTTTGACCGCCGCTAGCTTTTTTCCAGCCACGATAAGGGGAAGTTCAGTAACACGTTGGTTGGCTAAGCCGTCTAGTAGTACGTTTAGCATAACTGTCTTCGCAGAAGTATTTCAATTGATAAATACACTTTGATGTGTCAAAACTATCTAGCTTATCCTTCTTTTGAATCCCAATAGTTCGTCGAATAGATAATGAAAAAATCAGGTTGGCTAGGCAAATTTTCTTCAAATACTTGTGGTTAGTCTCTCAAACAAAATCTAGTTTGAAAAGTTCCTATTAAAATGTAACTTTATAAACGGTGGTCTCTTCCGTACTGTCTTAGGTTTTCTATCTAATATTTGCATAATTTCTTTATGAAACCACTCAGATATTCCGTCTCCATCAAGGAACCATGAATATATTCAAATGCCTTTTGTAACTTATCATCCGTGCATATCTTTCTTGCTCCGTCCGTAAAGTAAATTAGTCAAATATACGAACCACTTTAATTATTCGAGAAGCTACATCGGTCCTTATGAAATGGCTGTTGAGGGAATCCCCGTGAACATACGCAAGGCTCCTTTGATATTTAGTAACAGCAATCATCTTTAACATCAGTGAGATATGTGTTTATCCTTCAGACGAAGTGTATACCGTGCAACAGCTGTCCTTATGTGTATTTATGACAGTAAGAAAGTGGAAGATATGAAAATACTAACCAGCTTTTGACTACCAACACTCAATTTTTCATTATATTTGAGGATAAGACCAGTGAAAGTATCACAGGTAGAATGTTCAGCAGTAAGAGAAAGAAGCTACTACAGTTCAGTTTAGTAATACGTGTTAAGCATGCGGAACAATAACCCTTCCTCGAAGAGTTAGGTTAGGTGGAACTGGATCACGTTAGACAGGATTTCGAGGGATAGTTAAATCAAAAACATAGCACCAATCCATGAAGTCGACGACTACTGACCACAGCAATCTAGAGAGTTGTAGACTGATGTCCCCTCCAAGAGAATCTCAGATTCTAATGGTACTTATAAGCTTTACAACGTCATATTAGTGTTCACAACAATAAATACTTTGCTAATTAGACACATCCTTTTCTTAGATGCCCAATCACTTTAGTGGTCATTGAGTGAAATAAAAATCAATATTTAGTAAGTCTTAACGATTACCCTATAAAAACAGACTTCACAGATAAGGAAGTTTGTTTAATAATCTCATTCAACAAGGCATAATCTTCAAAGACATAGGGCGATAAATAAACAGCTGACTTACTAACCCTCTCTAGCCTATTTTCGTTGTTGACTCTTCGGCGGTATGTGCAACTTGAATGATTGTTTGGAAAATCCCTCCTCAACTATCGACTTATTTAGATGTTTCAAACAACTTTGCGATGATGATCCGTTTTTCCCATCGACTGTGTATCAATGTCCTAAATTTTAGAGAACATCTGTTGACCTGATCCTTATTATTAGTCCTTACCCCTTGTATAGTCTCTAGTTTTAATGCTTCTCTTGTGGTTGTGTGATACATGATACTGAGAATATGTTGTTTTACGATGTGATTTTTTCCGAATGAGATGAAGACAGTTCTAATCCTGGGCTATCTTCAGGAATTCTTTTGAACAAAGTTTTCATCCCACCTTGTTGTTGGTAATACCCTATTTGGATCACCAGTACCTCTTACATTTTAATTTTAGTTAAGTAATTTTGTTCTACATTACTTGTTTTGTACTTACAAAAATTATCTTGATTACGTAACTGTCTAAGGACACTGTTGAGGGAGTATTGAGTTTTTGATGTTATTACTGCTGGTGAATAGAACCACACAGAGATTTGTCAACGAATAATCGCCTTTTTGCTGCCTTTGGAAGTCAACGTGACTGTGAGTCTATTAAGGAATTTTCGGACAGCTATAAAGTAGAACGCAAAGATCACACCCCTGTGTTCAGACGACAACAAGTCGATTTTGGTTGTTACCTATAACTCAACCGGGATTGAACTCAGAACCAGTCACTGAAACGTCATCAACCTCAAACATACACACATTGATTTTAGAGCTAAACAATGTTTAAAAATCAAGTACAAAACTATTCATAAGACTGAAGCTGTCCGAGAAATGAAACATACCTTTACACTATTCAATTGTGCTGTACAACAGCTAACCAATTTCGATGGTCTGTACAACTTGGACAATTCTGCTTGAATTCCTTCAAATACTAAGTGTATCTTGTTCAAACTGTACGCATGATGCTTTACATAGTTTATATGCTTGATCCATAATTTGTTAAAGATTGAACATTGACGTCGGCAACCAGCATATTGTCTTAGCATACGTAAAATGCTCAACTCAAGACGTGATTTAATTCTTTTCGTTGTTAGCGATGATGATGACGATGTTGATTTTTTGTCATTGATGTCGATGATGTAGTCATTAAAGTTTCTTTCGTCTGAAACAAAATCTTCTATGCTTGTCAATGAAGCTTTATCTTGTTTGAAAATAGATTGAAATATTGAATTGGGTAATTGTTTTATCAGACTGCTTAATCGTTTATGACTTTCATTTTGAAATGTTAACTCCCATTCCTGTTAGAAATAACAATGAAAATACAGAGGGTTAAACCTTAGCAACACATGGGATACTTTGACTGATAAATGATAAATTTACACTCATGATTTATTTATTTATTTATTTTAACTTTTGATTACAGCTTGATTCCACACTGTATTTTTGGTACAAGTATGAAATTTCCAGCATGGATATCGGTAGCCCAAATTTGCAGGCCAACCATAGATATCAGGTGTGCGTCGGCAGGGGATCGAACCCAGGACTATGTGCATGGTCGGCGAGAGTCCTAATCACTGTGCCACCGACGCAGATAAAGTAATAATGGTTATTGAAGATAAGAAACCTTTATATCTTAAGTGAAGTTACAAAGGGAAAATTGCAGCTGACATTCTAAAATGTCAACTTAATAGATCAGTGGCAAGAAAGTTTCCTCCAGCTAAACTGGTACTCGGCTTCTCAACAAAACTAGTCAAGGATAAATAACCGAAGATGGCCTCATCAACGTGTCTCTATTAAATCAACTGCTCATGTGAAGCTAGTTACATTGGTTGTACTTAGATGGCTTTATCCATGCGCGCACGTGAAAATGTGCCTGTATAGCTACATAAAGGGGTAACCAAATGCGTAAACAGTGCAGTCTTAGACCACTTAGATAATGGGCATTTGATAAAACCTGACCAGGCATTCTCACTTATTTACCGCCTTCCTGGTAATCTATCCAGAGGAGCTAGACTACGTCTTCTATCAGCAGCTGAAGCGGTAGCAATGAATACCAAAAGATCGGATCTTGGTATAGAGAAGTTTCTTCAACCGCTATGTTTACCTCGGTCTAAAATAAGACCAACAAATCCTTCATAAACATAAGCACATGAAATCATTATTTGCCTTTGTTTTATTGACAAACGTTCATCTCTAACTTTTTACGACTTGATGACCTTTCTTATGATTTCTATTCCCTTCAAGTTTACATAGTGCGTTTTCTAACTTGTTATCATATTTACACAGTCACGTTCATTTTACTTCACTAAATTCATCATTATTATTTGATAATCATTCACCAATAGTACTTTTAAGGTCGTACCACACCATTGTTAATATTTCATTATCGTCATTATTACTGTCGTTACTTTCACCCTTGAACTGACGTCTATTCTATCCCATTGCTTGGTTTATTTCTCTTCAGTCTTTATATCGCTTCTCTCACACATCACTGATGATTACACTCACCCTCGAAACCTGTACTTTTGTTGTGTACACACATATACACACATCATTGAATTACCTCATCTCATTTTATTTAATGTTCTCCTTGGTGAAGTATATTCAAAACTAACTAAGCATTGTTCCATCCCATCTAACTTATAATTGTTCCACAACATACATTTCTGATATGGTTGTAATTCTCCCCTACTGACTAGCTGTTGTCTGCCTAAATTAATTAATGGATTTATAATGTTGAGAGTGAAGAAGGAGAATTACTAGACACCACAACTGTTCGTTCTATTTTTATTCTGAATATATTATGAGAATTTGTTTGTTTATTATTATTAGTGTTCCCTTGGGTTCCTAGTGGAACATAGGGCTTCAACTGCACGTCCTCCACTTGCTTCTGTCTTCTGCTGCACTTTTCACCTGCATCCATGTTAGTCCATACTCTTTCAACTCCTCTTCACATGATCTCCTCCATGTCACCCTTGCACTGACGTCCCACTCGCCGCTTCCTTTTCGGTCTGGTTCCACTCAAGCAATGGCCTGAAGCGCGTGCGATGTCACCAAGCGGCCTCCTCAGCCACGAGTGTCCAATCCATCTCCACTTTCTCCTGCATATTTGTTGGACGATTGGTTCTTATTTTGTTTGTTCCCATACTTTCTTGTTGGTGATTCTTTCCGGCCCGGCCATCTGATCTTCAGTATAGAACCAGCGAAGACAGTTAGTTGTTGATAAAGGTCTGCAATAGCCTGTTGGAAATATTCTTTGTGACCCACCCACTAAGTTTCTGATCCGATCCGTATAGAAGAACTAACTTGACCTTTGTATTGAAGATCTTGTTTGTTTATAGGTAACTTTAAATACATCAGATGATAACAGTCAAAAATAAAAATGTTGTGCAATTATAAACGCAGTGATCTGCTTAACTAATGCCGATTCATGATGAGAACTGAACAACTGTAATCAATTTAAAATTCCAACAAATTCTCTAATCTGAATATCAGTTGCCTGAAACTGCATTTGGAAGTCGTGATCAATGGGTCCCAGAATGTGAAGATAAAGTGGATGCTAACAGAAGGCGTTGGACTACGGTGGCTGTATATCACAAGTTGACCAAGCTAGAATTCGCGCGTCATTGGATTACAGCCCAAGTGGCTAAATCGTCAACGATTTGGATGTCTTAACCTGGACGTCCACAGTTCGATCCTTGTTGGGTTAGTAGATCCGCAGTACTGAATACTTCCAAAATAGAACCGAACATATTTTCTGGTTTTCAGTAATCTCTCTAACTGATGTTGGTTCATGACGAAAATCTAAAAACTGCAATAACTAAGGCCTAAGTGAAATAAGGAAGCAGTATTCATTTCCACATTTATATTTCTATTCTTAAGCATACTACTAACTGACTGATTTGAGTAGATAGAGATATACTCACGTGAAACAATAACGCCTGCCAACGAGATCAGAGTGATCTAGACACGAAATGGCCCGTTCAGAATTAAGCTAATCAAAGATATCCGCCGTCATCCGGTGTTTACATCACCCCAATCTAGCTAAAAAGTAGTTTCGCTCGACGTAAATTGCTTCCAGTTACTGATACTAATCAATAACAGATAAGTTGTTTCTACTTCATTAGGGTTTTTTTTAAATTCCTACTTATATTATCAGGCAGATCAAATGGTTCCCAGAGCGAACTGCATTGATGTATCCCTCCTAAGTGTGTAATTTCTACAAATGATGAATGTGGAAATCAAAGTGAAAGTAACTGCAGTTCCTCATTCAAAAGTATCTCATAGATACTTCAAGATATCTTAATAAATTTCCTCAGCAGTAATAACCAGAACGTCTCTAGTGTCATCCATCAGAATATTGAATGATAAAACTACTGTGACTATTTTAAGCACTTAAAACCTCATTCTGTTTTTGATTGATTCAACACACTTATTCTTATGGATGCATAATAAGCCATCTACCCACCGATCCATGATTTTTTATGGTTACATCAGAGTGTGGATCATTTTTTCTTATCACATATGAACCCACAATCTCCAAGCAGTTGAAAGGACTGAGTTCAACTCCCTATTTGTAGGTTCATAATAATTCCCAACAAGTTACTGACTGACTGGTTTTAATACAGAACTTTGCACAGATGTGCAGCAGTTCAAGGGGCTAAACTCCCTCCTTGTAACACACAAAACAAGAGTACAGAGTAAAGCGAGATTCAAAAGAGAGATAATGAACAGCATTGTGAGCAAAGGAAAAAGACTAGTAATATTTAAAAACGATAGAGTTTTATTGGATGGAAATGACAAACCACAGAGAATGAATACATCTGCACAATCATTGAGAACAACGATTTCGAGTTGTATCACCAAATGTCTGCCTCCAGCCATCGGTTCTTACCACCCCAAGGACCCCGACTAGCCAATCAGTCTGTAGCTCCCTGAGTGCCTTAAACTAACTGATATAGATTTTATTGAGTTATTCCATGTTTCGTTCCTACCAACACTAACTCTTCCCCAACTTGATCCATCCTATGTCAGCTAACATTTGACCATCAAGGAAGGCGATGTCCAGACAGACGTGGCTTCCAACCTAATCGATTGATTTCCCCTCCCTATCTACCTAAAATTCGACAGAAGCCTAACCTCATTATTACTCAGTCTATTACACCTACCACCTAACATTGGAGATAGAACGCAGACACGTATGATTAGAGACAGCTAGTCAAGCTTTTCATATCTTCCATGTCTCATAGCTATAAAGGAGAACGGAGTGAACCGCTGCTAAGCAATACAAACGTCCCTTGGTAGACGGCCAGACATAACAGGTTTCTACTTGAACGCTAAAAGCAGCTTTATTCCGAGGACTGTTTACATAATGCGTGGTACATCCATCGAAGTTTATTGCCTATAGGATTTCCAAATAAAATATTAACTGACGGTAGATCCTGTGACACTACACTGTCTGACCTGAAGCGTAAGCCAATCTCCTTTGATAAATGTGCGATATTTAGCTGAAACTGATTATAAGAAGTTCATTAGTACATTTTGTAACCCAAGGATATAACTCAAGTATAGTTATCTGATGTATTGAGATAAGTTGATTTTTTTTATTAAAACTTGATTCCACACCGTATTTGTGGTACAAGTATGGAATTTTCAGCATGTGATATCGGTAGCCCACCACTGTGTCACTCATGGTAATGCTCGTTCTCAACTTCAGTAGAAACTAACCAACCAGCAGTAAATATGAGGCTAATGGTTGGAAACGATTGGTGACATGGCTCAAAATCGTTCTCGATGGCGCAGATGCATCCACTCCTTGTGACCTATGATTTCCAATGAAATTGTTTCGTTCTTCGTTACTACTATTCCTTTGTCTCACACCTCCGGTTACTGTCTCTATTATGCATTCCTTCCACCTTCTTCTCTTGCTTTGTGTACTACAAGGAGGAAGTGTGGTGACTTGAACCACCGCACATATGGCCAAAGTTCTATGTCGAAAACGGATAGACAGACAGACAGATATGAGGCCATTAGGAGTCATATTTTAATCGATTAAAACAAAATGAAGAAGAGAAGAAATTCTATGCATTATAAAGACGGAAATGTTTGACAGCCCAAGTCATAAGTAAGCTGTCAGTATGGTTGTATATGAGGTAGTGAAACGACGTGCGAACGCCTAGACATTTATACATAAAATAAATTCATACAATTTTCCATGGCCACAAGAATAGTGGCTACAACAGTGTTCCCTTTATCCAAATTTATATGTAATTGTCTAACACACATTAACTTCTATGCTCTATAGTAAGTAACACTATGTTACAGGTACAAAAACCAGTTCCACCAACAATATTTATTTATTATTATTATTATTTTATTCCCTGAACTCAATGAAGCATGTAGCGTCAGCATCACATCACCATTGTACTCGCTTCTCTACCTAGGTCCGCAATCCTTCCACATCTCTATACATGACCTTCTTGATATCCTTCCAATCTGTCGTTTCCTATTCGAATTCTGTTTGAGGTCACATCTCGTGTGTTCTGTCAGTTCAAAGCCTCCTCAGTGTATATTCAGTCGATCTCCACTACATTTGTAGGGTGATAAGATGGCTTTCTTGTTCCTTGCAAAATTTCTTTGTTCCATCCCATCTTCAGCATCCGATGAAGGCTTTTGTTGATGAAAAATCTACAGCAGTCTGCCGAAAACATTTTTGGCGACGGTTCATAATGCATCCACTGGTATTTTTTCGGCGAATATATATATAAGTTAGATCACTAGCTTGCACCATTCAGGGAACTGTATGTAACTAGGATACGTGGAAAGTGGTTTTGCCTTTGTTCTGAGACTTTCCACAGGAACATACCCAACAGATCACTTTGAATGCAACCGAACTGTCCAGTACCCAGGTGAAATCAATCAACGCCTTGCAAAACAATGCCTGAAAATATTTGCATTATTTGATCATATCTAGTGATAGTTGAACAAACTTTATACCCGAAAACAATCATGCTACTTAAATTGAATTTGAGTAACTAAAAAGGTTTTCATTGTCAAATTCTCATTAGTAACATGTTTTAATTAATAAGAGGGAGACAGACTTACCTTAAACTCTTTCCATTTCACTTCAGCTACATCAACATTCAGGTGATTTGGTATACCGAGCTTCGTCAGTTCCTCTCTTAACTGACCAATCCAAGTAGAACAAGCAGATATAGACAGAAGCAATTGGTTCTCCTGGGAAATATTTTAAAAAGAAATAAACAATCCAAATTACAGTTAAGATTTGGAAGAGAAAGATAGATGGAGTCACAGTAAAAGAAAGTAAAGCAGATGAATATTTGAAGTAAATTCGTGAATGATAAGTGACCAGAAGTGGAATCCAGAATGCATATTTCTCTCTATTTGTGATTCGCCGGATGGATGCAATTTCATTTCCCCCCAGTGAGTCAGTGATGATGTTCCCAAAGAGGATCGAATCCAGTACCCATAGTTTCAAACGCTGAATTATTATCCACTAAACCGCTTGGCTCACGGCAGCTAGCCGCCCCTTGCGAAACAGGTATCAGCAATTATTTAAATCAATTTAGACCTTAATAATACTATAATAGTAGGTTTAATAATACTTTGACAAAGCTATTAGAATTAAATACCGAAACGTCAGTAAAAACAATATCGTTTTGTTTTTCATTCATTGGGAAATACAAAACTTTTTATTACAATTTAGACTTTCCCTTTGACTGGCCTCCGATTGACACGTCGGCTTCTCGTGTGGATGCTTCGACCCACTGGAGAATGAATGAGATTCATCCAGATGACGAATCATGTGGAAGACGAAACGTGGACACACCACAAATCAATTTACTATAAGTTAAATAATCAGCAGACATTGTCAAAGTATCTGCACAAGGAGGAACCGACATGTCAACCTGAGGTTGAACACGTCGGTCCAATCAGTCAACGTGAAAGTCTAAATTGAATTAAAAGATGAATACTTTTTAATTGACTCGCTGGCTATCACAGAAGACAGTGCATTCATGTATAAACCACTTAATGGTATTTATTCATCACAATACATTCTGTGCACACAGTACAACATCAAGAACAACAGAAACAACACCAACAACATAAAGAGGATAACACTACTAATACTCTGAACGATAAGAATAGATACAAGTGAAGTGTGAATGGGAACTTTGTGTTAGTTAGGTGAACAGAACAAAAGAGGAAAACAATCACAAATGAATTCAGAGCTTACAAACTCTTTATTTGCTGAATGCAGGGCAATTCTCTAACCCATGGAAAAATATAGTAAACAGAATAATACTTTAATGAAAACATAGTAATAATAATAATAATGCATAAATAGTCACACAAAGTTTTTATGGTTAAAAATTAAATTGTATATCGGTGGCTAGATAGTAGAATGCTTGTAACCCACGTATACGGCCTGAGTTCGATTACTGGCCTATGTGGACTTAAAATTGATCCACCTCTAGTATAAACCGTTAGTAACCTGGGAAAAGATAAGGGGTACGCTGTGAGGCTATCATGCGCACAGTATGAAAAAATAACTTTATCGCTATTCAGACCATAAAGCCAGAAGCCCTATGTTCCAGTCGGGATCTTTTGGAATAGCCTGTAAATGCTACGTGTTTCACTAAATCAGTTAACATGAAAACATGGCATCAATCCATGAAATCTTTGACAGTTAAACTGAGTCAGGTAGGGAGATGCAGACTCCCGGGTTGGGGGCCTCGGGACTCTAGGAATCAATGGCTGGAGACTATAGGTGACATGGCTCAAAATCGTTGTCAATGGCCAGCGCACATGTATTCAGTCTCTGTAATCCTTCATATTCCTTTCTACCATTACCGATTCTGTTTCACTCTTATACTTGTCAAACTCTATTGATTCTCTTCACTCATCTTCTTGTCTACCTCTGTGTGCTATTTGGAACGTGGCAACTCGAACTGGTGCACTTCGGTGACAAGTTCTATGTTGAATCCAGACAGACAGATCATGAAGATGTATCATATTCCTTTAGGCACTCGGCTTTCAGCGAATGGGGACTAAATTCGAATTCTTACCTACAATCTACTTCAACCTTAACAAATGGGTAGCATCACGAGTCTTAACAAAATGCTACAAATGTATGACTAAGTCTGGTATCTGTAAGATCTGATCCCAGCAATTGAGTCCTTACAAACTTCGGTTATCAGTTCTCAATGCATCTTCAACAACAACAACAAAAATAAGACGAGTTTTAGTTGTTTGTAAAAATTACACTGCATTAAGGCAGTTTTTAATCCTGTTTTTAGGCTGATCAGACGGTTTCTCTACTTACTGAAACGTTTCAATATGATTTAAATCTAAAATTTAGCTATGAAGGAGAACTTCTAGTGAGTTTGTTATGATAACTAGTAAGACTGTCTAACTAACTGACCGACTGGTTTAAACATAGAACCTTGTACAGAAGTGTAGCAGTTGAACTTGATACACTACATTTAGCATACAAAAGTAGATAAAAGAGGAGAAAGAGATACAAAAGAATGTGTTTGAGAGGGGGGAAGAGAGAAAGAGAATGGTAATGTGGAGAAGACTTTGATGGTTTGATGAATAAGGAAGCTCAAAGAGAGTGAATGCATCCAGCACTACTAAGAACGTCGATTTTGTGCCACATCACCAATTATCTCCAACCATGGGTTCCTAGTATCCTGAGGAGGAAGTGTGCACCTCCCTATATGGTTGGCTTAAACTAACTGTTGAAAATTTAATCCACTAATTCCAAGTTTTCGCCTGACTACCACTAGTTCATCTCTAACATGATCCATCTTATGTCAGGTAACATTAACCTTCGAGGAAGCTAACTGCTTGAGATGCGTGAAACCTCTTGTCCTAAATATCTCAGTCAAATGTACCTTCAAAACTTCATCCGTTGACTTTCCATACTTACGTGACTCTCGATGGTTAACCTCATTATTAATCACACTATTATACCTACAATATAACATGGGGGTTATAACGCAGACAGCTATAATAAAAGACAGCCAATCATTTCACATATTCAATTTCAATGACCATGTCTCACAGCCATATAGGAGGACGAAGTGAAGTAGTGAGCAGTACACATATCGTTTGATCGAGAGCCAGTCGAATATTACATATACACCAGATATGACGTAAATCGGGAAATTCAACAGTATTCTTTTGTGTGGTTGCTGAGATTTCGACATTAATCAGAAAACTGTGCATTTTATCAGCGTCTTCACCTAGGCGGACTATTTCATCCACACATTCTAAGTCAGCAAGACTATTCTCTGGTAAAAATTTAATCCCTTAGTCGCTGAAGTCAGTTAGATACAATTCCATTAGTACATCTGTGATGGAATTAAACAGAAATGGAGACAGTAGGCATCCTTTGCCGACGGACACCACTGGTTGTCATCACTTCAGATGACAACTCTCCGTAGGTTCTCAGCTAGCTGTATGTATGAGTTCAAGTAGAGTGCAGTCACTAGTACGATGCACTTTCTCAGGACTCTATTTACGGTCAAACACTGCCATATTACCTCTTGGATGACACAGTCGAAATCCGCCTTCAGGTCAAGAATTATGTCAGTTTTTGGATACCGGAATTTTTGAAAGGTGCAGATATGATCATTACACCATCTAACTAGTCTAAAGCCCAACAGATTGTTTGTTTGATACTCGTATAGGAGAGATTTATAGAGTCGAGAAAAACACTTACTTGTTTTACTTCATCTAATAGTTTAGCTTTCTTTGTTGATAAATCAAGATAATGTTGTTCAGTTTGTATTGTTAATCGTTTTATTTCACTTTCAAGATCTTTATCATCAGTAGTATCCATGCAGGGATTTGAAGCGATCACGTTAAGCATTCCTCGCACTGATTCTACTTCTTTACACCATATCTAAAATGAAAAAAGAAAAAAAAGAATGAAGTGTAGTATTCCCTTCAGTGTTTTAATAAAACTCTTTATTATTACATTAGTCATACCGGAGGTATAGTAAATACTGAGCATATGAGTATGCCAACTCCAGCGCATATATTGTTAATGTAAACTTGCACAGTAGTAGCAGTATTAACAATAAACCGAATAATCTACAGTTGTGAGTCAGTAGATGAGGTAATCGTCTGCTGCTGCTACCGTTTTCCTTGTTGGCTTTCAATTACCTCATAGCATTCAAGACTTCTGACTTTTCTGGAAAAAGCGTTGGTGCACACTGGCAGTCCTATAGCTGCTCACGATATTTTCAAACCAGTTGTACGTGATGGTCGGGTCAAGAGGCCTATGAAGGGGTTAGTGTATTGTCTCTTGTACTCCCTTCACTATCTGATATTGGTTTCGTCTGTGCTGATCTCTTTCCAGAAAGCATCCTAGTTATCCAGTATAGTGTTCAGATATCCCTTTTACTTGTATTACGTTCCGCTTCAGTTGCAAATGTTTCGTGTGATTATCTTTGTCTTTTCTAAAACTCTTCTCCACTTCTTTGTTTAATGCGTCCACACTTTCGTGAGATCGAGAAGTTTACCGAATTTTTGGAGTGTCCATTAGACTGAGATTCACGCCGCCTTATGTATATCCTCGTGATTCTACACGCAAACCCTGACCACTAAATCACTGAAGGAACTCAAGTCTGCGAAGAGTTCTCCGTCCTCATTCATTTCGCCGACAGCCTCACAGTTAAAGAACAGTTCTCTTCGTGTATTGTCCGCTCTCAGTTTGGAAAATTATTCCTTAAATTCAACAACAACTCTTTTTCTGTACAAAAGGTACGTTGATGATGCTTTTATCATTTGTGATAGCAAATGTGACCTGAATAATGTATTGTTAATTCCATTAACAATCTTTTATTTTCTATGTTTCTTCGTATATTTCTGAATAATTTCTGTTGGGCAGTGTGTTATTCCCTAGTAATATTCGCCTTATTTGTTTCATTTCCTTGTTTAAATCTTCTGACTTACTAGTTAGTTAGTCTCCTGACCCGATCATATATAGACAGACAATTTCACTAATCCTATCTTCCGTTACTGATTCTGGATGGGATGCATTGAAATCTAAGTATTTATTGGTGTGTATTAAGGGATCCTATAAATGCTAACTGGTACCTAACCCATCACCTATTCTTCTTTTTATTCTACAGTTTAGCATGACCAAATCACCTCTTCCGCTTTCTCCCCGAGAATTGCATAGGATTCCGTTTACTTTTGAGTTTACATGCATATGTATGAAGAACTGAAGGATATGTTTAGATTTCAACACAGCGAATGCATGTCATCCAGTTATCCCCACAATAACCTACGCAGAGGAGGAATGAACATTCTGAAAGCTTTATGTCCCTCAAGTGTTCATTATATATACCTGTTACTGATGGGGATGTTAGTGATTCATCCTACTGTCATCCTCATTTGAAACTCAAATACAATGAAGGCGAAACATAACTGAACACCTAATATTATTTCATCAACCGAGAGCTTAGTCCTACTTCTGAGTTCGGAATCAATGTTCATTTCATTTCCCTAACTGTCTTCAGAGTTTTATTAATGAGAGTAATTGGTATACAAACTGGTTACATCAAAATTGTGTTACATCATACAATAAACTACTCAATGCCTCATTCAGTATGCCAGCTTAGAACAAGTTGAGCCCTTATGTCCTGTTCATGAATAAACATGACAGAAAATCTGAATAAACACGGAAAAATGTATGTGTAATTTTAAACATACCTCCAAGTGTTCCATTTTTCCCGAATGGTTTAGTGGAAGGTTTAGTGATACATTAACCAGGTCGTTTTGTTCATCACTGACATATAAATCATTTTCGTCTCTTTCCACAACTTTCTCCTTCTCTTCCGCCTGCTGACCAACACTTTCAATCTCATTTTCACTCTGGCAATGATCCAATACTTTGGCAGAACAAATCGATGATTCATTAAGTATACTTGAAAAGTCGTTCAGCAGTGTTTGAATTTGTCCAGTTTCAATAAGTCGACTTCTAGTAGCTTCCTGAAATATATATGTACATATAAGACAGGAGAATAAGACTAACTATGTGAGTAAATGAAGCCAAAAATAATAAATTTTTTTTCCTTCGCGTTCTCATTAGAACATTGGGCTCCAAGCTAGAGGCTTGAGGATTCCGTAGCAGTGTTGATTTTTACAGGATGGGGTTGCTAGTTTCATGCCCAACCTTTCCTCTTTACCGGTCTCACTACTGGCTTAGCGAGGTAAAGGAGTGCGCCGGCCGGGGCTCGAATCCTGGACCATGTGCATGGCCGGCGAACGTCTTAACCGCTGTGCCACCGACGCACAAACATAATAAATAGCCAGCTCTTAAAGAGGATTACAGTCATCATCATCTATGCCAAATAAAAGTACTGCTTAAATATAAAGATTTATGATTACTGCTTAAATGTGTTTAGTATTTGTTAGAATTAACACTCTGTTACCCTGAAAAGATTTTGCGTCTACCAGGATATAAACCAATAGAAATTGTGATACGACAGTTTAGTCACCTGTCACGTAGCAGAAAGCGGACGGAGATTCAAATGCGGATAATATTAACAGGAAGCCCAATAAATAAGCCAATAAACAACATATTTAGTGAGAAAGTAATTATAATTATTCCCAGGGTTCTAAGTGGAACATAGACCTTCAAAAGAACATCTCCATCTCCTCCTGTTCTCTACATTCTATACGCTTTCATCTCATCGTCACACGATCACCTTCATGTCACCTACAAAGACACACGCTTATCTCGTCGCAACCTACTCGGAGGCCTGGTGCGCAATGTTATCCGACGTTCTCCTCAGCGTCTATCCAACCGATCTCCTTTTTCTTTGGATTATTTGTTGAACCGTAGCTCCTTGATTGGTTCGTTCCAGAGTTTCCTTTTGTTCATCCCCTCTGGCCATCCCACTGGAGTAAATGAAGGCGGCCATTGATGAAAGTCTTCAGGGGGTTGTTGAAAATGCTTTTTGTGACGCGTGACTAACTTTTCTGACTTCTACAGAATATTCACGTGTTGGTTTGTAGGGATTTGACTGGTTACAGAACCACTCACTAGCAACTTGCTCTATTTAGTTAGGTAGTTACCTGGGGTTCTAGTGAGAACTCGTGACCAGTGGGCTGCAGCAGGTCGAGTGTGACGACAAATACTTGCCGAAGACATTGGCTAGTGGTCACGCTATGTCGTGAATTGTTAGAAGTTAGAATTCATGGACTGGTTGTTTGATCGATTCCCAGTGGTTTAATGGTCTACGAGATCGTCTCGTAACCAGAAGGTTCTGGGTTCGGACCCCGGTGGTTGCGTACTGATGGAAACCCCAAACTAGGATGAAACAGCTTTCCAGTATTCCCAGTTTTTCCGGTGGATCTCTAACTGATGTCAGCTCATGATGAAATCCTACATACAATCAAACAAAAATCCCTACAAAACCAGTACTTGAAAATATTTCTGGCATATATATATATATATGAAATATAGTTGACTTACAAGAAGGATAGATGATTGATTGAAACTGACGATAAAATCATTCATAATTTTCTCCACTTTTTGATTTACAAAGGGTATAACTGATGTAATAACATCAGACGCCTCTTTGGTACATCTACTACCGGATGATAATGAAAGAAATTCCAACTGAAGGCCGTCTGTTTTATCCTCCCATTTATAATCTTCATTCAGGTGGAGAATAACATTTTTGAATTCATTGCCATCTTTGACTATGCATTGAATAATCGACATTTGAGAACAGTTTTCAAGACGGAATAACTATGATAACAAAAAGAATTTTTAAAATATTAATTTTCTCTTGTTGCGTTATTATAATAATAATAGTGATAATGTTTTGTGAAGTAGTTCATTTTATGAGGTGCAATGAATTAAAACGGAGAGAGAATTAGTATTGCATAAGAGTAAAGCCTAAGGGACCGATTCAGTAGCATGATTCTTGTGATATCAACTTGACTAACTCTGCGTGCGTTTGTCAATTCATCTACTTGTGTGGAGCTAGGTATATCGGTCGTTCGATTCAGGTTTTGTCCAAGAGCGTGCAAAAAACACTATGCTGCGTGGTAGTTACGAATAGGTGGAAGTGTAGCAATGAGAAGTGCGATCACTGAACATCTGATCGATAATGATCACCCTGTTTCTCTACAGCCTTCGCCTTTAAAGTCATCCACGAGGTGAAAAGTAATTTGCCCAAATCACTATGTACCCCACTCATTTGAATTGCTGAAGCCATCCTTGGCTCTCGTAACAGAAAAGCCAGATCTCTGTAGAATCAAAACGTTCGTTCAACACCTACCCACCCCGAACTTTCATGGTCTTAATTCCCCTATGGTAAAGTATGATAATCTCTAATCAGATTTTGGCTCTACCAGTTATTCAATTTATATACTCTCCCTTTATTACGTCAAATGTTACCATTACTATTCTCACTCTGAATTGACCCCGGTACTATTTCACTTGGCCCACTTGTCATTCTAAATCAATTCTGTTTTGCAATGTTAAATTCTATGTTATCAAATTTCACACAATGTTACGTAACGCTTTTATTTTTATTCTATTTGCTTACTACTCCAGTAATTGTGCACCCCGTTCCAGCATCTATAGATCCTATGAATTATTTCTTATATGACATTGACTGTTTTGCCACATGACATATAACTATGATTATAATTACAAATATTTTAATTTCATTTCATACTACTATTACTATTATTTTATGCATTCACATCTATGATTCAATTCCCTCACTGGATATAATTTCTTACAACACATTATACGATTCTACAGCTTGAGAATAAATTCGTTGTTGAATTAGAGTCCCTTCGTTGAATCGCCACTTGTTTTGATTTTAACATCAGTTTCTCTTCAAATCTCTGTTAGTCGTCTCATATCTTGTGGATTTCTAAGAAAAGTTTTCTTTTTTGAATTATTTTATAGAGAAGTTGGAACCTCCTCTTGCATTTTATTAACTCATGTATTCCGCCTATTCTTCTTTTTTATTCACTGTTTGTTCTTCCCTGAGCTTCTCAAGAACGAATATTTCAAATAAGGAAGAACATTGAAGGCTGTAAGCAAGCAGGGTTAGTGGCGTGTGCGTGCGTGTGTCTTTCATTAAACTAACTGACATTGTGAGTGATGGGGATTTTAATTTTTGCAAGTAGCAGGCTATTAAACACCCTCTTCATTTTTAGCTTTCGCATTGTATCTCATAAGAATTTAGGCTGTTACTGCTAAATGTCAAAAATTACACCACACCATATTTAGCACGGGTTTCATGTGAAGATATTTTACGTATGAATACATTTATAAAAGGAGATACCTTTCTGCATTATACGTAAGCAAATGCCAAAAATCCCACTGCGTATAATAAAAGGATTACAATCATTACTGTTACTTAGTCCGACCACATATAGTCCGTTTGTAGTGGTTTTTGAAGAAAACTTTACCTCCAGTTACAGAGCTGGATAGACTTCATCGAGATGCCAAATGTTCAAAGATGACACCATCGGTCATCACCCCAGTATTTCGATTTCGAATAAATTCTCCCAACACAGATTGAGAACAACTTACACTTCCTGGGATAAAATAGCCTTCAACACAAGAAGGGCAAATACTAACCGAATTTTAAAGGAAACAACATCATCAAAGATAATGGACCAGTAGAAACAAGTGAATCGTTTGTTCAATAATTATGTGGGATATCTCTCTCTCTCCCCCTCTAACTTTACTGATAAAAGAATGGCGTACATTTACAAGTAATTATGTCAACTTACTGTTATGTTATGCAAATGTGAGTTCAAGTCTTCAATGGGAACTTCATTTACTGGTTTTATACTGCATTGTTGTAGTCTGATTTTTAGTTTATCCACTCTAGGATGCATTATCTGCAAATGTTGGAAGAAAAAGAGGGAACAATATATATATACGAAATGAATCTGGGTTCGAGTCCCAGTTGGGACAACACCATCCACTGGCAAACAGATAGATACAACTGACAAACTGACAAGTGACGTCAAACATACTCTAAACTCCATGGCAAACCAACATCAAACTAGTTTTGTGTAAATGTGGCTCAATGGCTTTAGTATTTGGCGTGCATCCAACTGGTCCCGGGACTGATTCCTTCCCCAACCATTTCAATCTAGACAGCTGGGTCAACTCTCAGGTAATCGATGCGGCTCTTAAAGTAGGAAGACTTATAAATGAAATCCACAATTTTCAAATTAGTTAGAAATTTGCAATGGATACAGATTGAGGAGTAAGATTTTCACCATGCAGTTTCCTTTGGAAAAGAAAGCTGTCCAGATCACGCACAATGTATGGTCTGCTTAATACCATAACAATCAATGAATTGAGTAGTTGGATGCCAAACATCAGTTCTTCCAAGTAGTTAACCAAAATTTGAGTGGTTTGAATCGATTCAGCTCTTTCTCTGAGATGAATCAAACCAGATGCAGCGCTGACAGATGAACTCGGCTCCAAACGACACAAATGGATGTCCTGCACTTAGATCACCTCGGTTCGGCTAGCCAGTAAACACTGCTGGTTGATATGTGGTACAGAACTGATGATCTCAATCAATCAATGGTATGTGATGAGAAATTAATAGATTTAGAAGGTTGCGAATAGAGAATACATTTGCATCATTGAGAACGATATTCTGCCATGTCATCTTTGGTTGCTAACAGTTGGTTCTTGATATCCGGAGGTCTACAGTCCTTCAAATACCTGACTCGAACCGATTGTTGATTTATCTTCTATTTCCCCCCCCCATGTCATTCATTCTTTGTGTTGAAATTTATATTACTCATCTCTAGTGAGTGGGACAAGTTGTATTTGTTAATTCTTAACCTTGTCTTTATTTACGATTGAAGTTTATCTCACTCGATATATTAATATTCTATTAGATGTATAACAATTATTTTCTTATAATCGTAAGTTATTCACTGTATATGCTTTATTCATGTACCCTTTACTGTTGCACATTGTTTATCTGCATGCCTTTAATCTGTGTCTGGCATTCGCGCGCTGTTTGTATAACACATAGATCGCCTTTGATTCAGCTGTGCTGTTTTTACTTACTGATTCACATTGATTGTGCATTTTGTCGTCATTCAGCTACAGACACCTCACAATTGTTGTTTGTATATTATATTTTATATTTAATATAGTACCGTATTTGAGACAAATCCTGTGTTTTCGGATTTTACGCATCACCCTACATTTTTTCTGCTACTCCTTTACGTTCCCAGTGGAACATAGGGCTTCAAGCGAGTATTTATTTTCACGGGATGGGCTTGCTAGCCTAATGCCTAACCTTCCCTCTTTACCTGTCTTATTATTGGCTTACTGAGGTAAGGGAGTTTGTCGGCCGGGGATCGAACCCCGAACCACATGAGACGTGGTTGGCGAGCACCTTACCTCTGTGCCATCGATGCACTATTACTCTGCCTGCGGTTTTAATAATCTTTCGGTTATCGTCCCGAATTTCTTTTGGAGGAAATTCAAGTTTTGGTTTGACCAGACCCTAACTCTTTTTTTTGGTGACGCAATCCTATGTCAATTAATACTGATTTGTAAATCTGACTATGAAATCTTCTAGTTGTATAGACTTTCGTCAGTGAATAGTCACTCGAGGATTGGCTATTACCATGAAGTTAGCTATCTACACGACTGAGATAACAGTCGTGTATGCATATCTCAGACTAGACAATGAATTCTTTGCATGTAATACAAATTCTATGTGTCACTAAAATGTGTTCATCAAGCGAAGTTAAAGAATCATAGTCAGAATCAAAGTGACCCTGGACAACCAATCAGAATTTAGATTCAAACAGCCGGATAATCAATGAAAAATGTAATGAACTGCATTCCAAAGATGATAGTACGCTGAATAATTGTATCTTAGGAATTGTAAAACTGTTTGTCATTTACTAAAAGAATAAGGCATAGAGAAATCACACCACAGTCAACAGATTTATTCATCCGAGTGACTATGGATCATGGTAATTTGGGACCCGTTGGTATTCTTGGGTCTGCTCTTTAAGCCACCCCTCCCCTAACATTAACTCTAATTCTAAAGCCTAACAGAATAAAGTACCCAGAAAATAATAATTAGAATCCTGTATCTGGCATCACGAATGAATTTTTTTCTTTTTGGAATGACCATTCATGGTGTTCTCTAAATCTGATTGGTTTCTGAAGGTCAATCTCTGACAGACGTTGACTTTGGCTACGCTACTTTAACTTCGTCAGTCATCATCCAGGCTGAATTTGAAAGATGGGAAACTCTAGCTATAGTGAATGTCATAAAAAATTCAACACACATAAGGTGGAAAAACTTTGTAGTGTACTTCCGTTTTGCAGTAGTTCTCCTGTTGGTAAAATAATGATAAGAACCGTTGTTTACGCCACAGATTCTGGAAATTATAATTACGTTCTTTCTTACCAAAGAATTTATTTTTACTTCTAGTACACTTAAGGAATTTATCGTCACAGCCAACCTGTTATTTCCTACTGATCACGACTTTTCACTAGAACCCCAGGTAACCACCTACCGGAATATTGCCAGTCACTAGTGGAGAGAGATTTGAATGGTTACAAGATTTCATCGTCCTCTGACAACGATTAGAGAACCATTGGAAAGCCAGTAATGGACAGCTGTTTCGTCCTAGTTTAGGACTATTCACCACAACATATCCGTCGGGGTTTGAACCCGGTACCTTCCGGTTACAAGATGAATTCATAGACCATTAAGCCAGTGAGACCCTATCCTCAAGCTGGAACCAAACAGCTGTCCAGTTCTCTCTGAAGATTTTCTAATGCTTCTCTAACCAATGTCAGCTCATGATTAAATCGTGTAACCAGTCAAATCCCTAAAACCCGATTATTGAATAGCAATGATAGGCCCAATAGCGACGGGGTCTATTCAGATAGGTAGTTACCTAGGGTTCTAGTGGAAAGCCAGGACCAGTAGGGTGGGAGGACTAATACTCGCCCATGACCTAAAGAACTGTCTATTTATTGAAGTGATTTCTCACGAATTTAATTAACTTCATTTCGACACACGAGCTTCTTAAACAGATGTCTTAATATTATCATTAACACTAACTAGAATTTATTTGCTTAGTAGTAGCTTGCCGTGGTGGGCAGGACGCATATTTCATACAGCGGGAGAATGTTCAGCAGGATGTGCCAAAATGAGATGAAACTAGCTTCCTGGCTTCCACTATTAGCCGCTACAAAATAAGCAATACAGCAAACTGTCCATCATACTTGCGGGACTGTGAACTGATAAGTAAGTTCTACATTATTCTGCAGGGTTCCCTACATTTTAGATTGCCGTTTTGTTTATTTCCAATCAACCATAGTAGCTCCTGTACCTGGAAAGGTTCGGCTAACCAGAACACGACTGTTTACATCAATCGACTGAATCTAGTCGCCCTGTCTGTGAATGTATCGGCGCTTGACCAAAATATACACAAAATATCTTCCAGAATAAAATAAAACAAAAATCAATAACTAGCTTACCGATAACCATGTTGAAAGACGTTCAGCCAGTTCATAGGCAAGAAGTAAACGTTCATGATGATTTTGAATATGTTCCAAAAAGTTTACAATCACTTCATTAATTTTAACTTGTCCATGCCATAGAGGCACTGAAATACTTGGTATACAAAGCTGTCTAGCGTCATAAGGCTGTTTCATCAAATCTTCTGTAGACTTATTCTCAAAGTCTTCGTCAGCTTCAAATGGTAAATCATTTATGCCGAAATCAACTGAATTAGTTTCATCAGCTAAATCTTGAAGTCTACTGATTAATCCCTATAAAATTGAAAGAAAGAAGAAGGCATTCAATAAAGCAGGAAAGAGTTATTCGGACATTATATATTTCGTGATATAACTCATAGAAGATGCATGAACAATATGACATTTCATCTTCTATATATTATTATTATTATTAAGCATTGCTGAGGATGACATACCTAGTTGTTGGTTTTCGGTAAACTGAGTTTGTACCACAAATCGGTGACAAAGAATCAAACGGAAGACTCAAGTAACTGATACTGTTAACAGTGTCGAAATTTGTCTTTGAATACTTCCGTATCACAAAAACAGATTCAGATAAAAGCTCTATATACTAAACAGCACTTTCTGACAAACAAGATTTCATATTAATTCTACACAAGAACATAATTTTTATCAATATAGGGGATAGTGATCAACAGTGGAACCCAGGATACTCATTCACCCCTCCCACCTTCCTATTTGAGACTCATTGAGAGGAATTGCCCACAGCCCCTTAGCGTGCGTTGTTCTTCACTCTGAGACTCAGAATCAGTAACCATCATTGTAGACGCCAGAGCGTTCGCTACTAAACCAGCTGAGCCATGGAAGCCACCTGCACGCAAACATAACAGCATACTTTTTAACCTAGATGGATACTAAGGTAGTTTCAAACTCACATTATTCCTCGTGAGTTATGCACGCCGTAATGGTCCAGCAAGCTACACTGGAACTAATGTTCCTGCAACTCCTACCGTGCCAAAATGTCATTAAGATAATAGTTAGACTAGAAGCAGTTACCGGCAGAGTGTAAGATATGTTACTCTATGCTTATGATCTGTGGGCAGGATTTTACTGCTTGGAAACAGGGATCCAAAACAGGGTTTCCCTCAGATGACTATCATGCCAGCGTCCTTCGTCCTGGAGACGGGGAGTTGGAAAAGACTAAATTAGCCTACGACAGTAACACCTTAGTATGGACACAACTCTAAGAACCAATTCAAACAGGCTGTGTGCAAATAGGCCTCAAGCAGTTGTTCTTTGAACTCTGTGGTAATGCAACATTAATTCTCTTTTCATCTCAGTGAGTAAGCGACAATCTCCCGCATCCAACTTTATCATTTTCATCCTATTGATTTTTATTGACTTTCGTTTAGCTACTTACCAGTAGTACTAAATATCAGAAGCATTTTAACGCTACACGATATTTCGATAATTTATTTTTATATTTAATGCCTTAGGCGCATATTGTTTATTCAACATGATGAGAAGTTCAGGCTCAGACTGATGGTAATGGCGATAACGGAAATACGATTGCAAGAAGTAATTCGAAATGATGGTCAGATATAAGACATGCTTAATAATTGATGTTAGCTAAATTCAACTCGAATTAATTTTTCACTGATACAGAAAAAGGTAGTGTTCATATGGATAGATATATATCTGTTTCTCGTATTTAAGGTTAGATAGTCAGTTTTTCCGACCCATTGCTTCTCATCACAAAGATGGGATGGAGTTATTTTTAAAGCAGATTGTTAAGTGAAGGTGTGGTGAGAGCAGGCTGCTAGCCAATTGGTAGACATTAATTAACGTCAATATCTAGGTCACTAATATTGGCCTGATTACAGTAGACTTAACGTGGGCAAATAAGATTCGCAGATATACGGCGTAACTTTCCGCGAAACTAGAAACAACCAATCAGAAGACTGTGTTTGTCTGCTTGAATAAGCTAAAATAATGTACATGAAATATACATAAATACGTGTTGATTTCCGTAATAAAAAACGATCTGTTGCCGACCCTTGTCTTCTGATGATACAAAGGAAGATAAAAATGGAATATGCGAGTTTACTGAAAAACGAAAGTGTCGAATGAAGCGAAAAAATGTCGAATCTCAAAAGGGACATGAGTTCTTTCAAGGACCTTCTGTCTGTCTGTTTTCGACATAGAACGTTCCACATATGTGCGGTAGTTCTAGTCGCCACACTTTACTCAGCTCACAAAGCCAGAGAAGAAAGTAGAAGAAATGCAAAATAGAGGCAGTATACATGGATATGAGACAAAGGAATAGTAATAACGAAGAACAATATAGTTTCATTGGAAATCATAAGTCACAAGGAGTGGATGCATCTGCACCCGCCATTGAGAACGATTTTGTGCCATGTCACCAATTGTTTCCAATCATTGGTTTTTACCGTCCCGAGGACCCCAAACAGTCAGGAAGTCTACACCTTCTTACGTGGCTGGCTTAAACTACCTGTTGTGGATTTCATTGACTGGTGAAGCCATGTTTTGGTTTGACCACCGCTGGCTCTTTTCCAAACGTCTTGCTGACTACTGAGTGCCAACTAGCACGAAACCTAGGTCTAAAGCTTTCTACCGATTGGCTACAACCATCTAATATCATCAAATCAATGCGCACCGTGTTGGCGAGCCCTCTAGCATGGTGGCCACATTACAAACCTGACTGATAGAATTCAATCTGCACCAAAGAAAGGACTAGACACATCACACTAGTTACTAGTGTCAAATCAAAATATCCACTGCTGTCCTACAGGAGGTCAATCGCGAGCCTGAATAGCTCAGTGGTAACGTCTCTGACTGCAGCCGGCACTGGGTAACGCGGGTTCGAATCTCAGAAGCAGAGACGTGAGTTCCTTCAAGGTTGCAGATAGGCCTTTCTGATGAGTGACAACTAGCACGAAACCTAGGTCCAAGGCTTACCACTAATTGCCTCCAACCATCTAATATCATCAATGTCTACTAAGCTCATAATGCTGATACAGTTTCAAAATGGAGTACATTTCCAAAATCACTGCGGTACACTTCTGTTGTGAACTTTAAATTCTGCCCTGCTACTACTACTACTACTCACCATAAGTGACTGAAGAACGTTAAAACTTGACTTCTTCTTTCTGAATAGTGATTAATAAGACACTGTCACTTTATGTTATGTTTTGGAGGCTTGAAATGGAATCCAAAAATCAAGACTTACTCGACTTACAGATAGTACTTCAGAGCTTGAAACGATGAATACTGAGATGGAATTTCAGTGTGAATACCTTCACTTACTCAGGATGCTGTTACATCTAACTGATGAGTCCTAAATTTTCTGGGGGAAATTCACATCAAGAATCTCACTGCTAGCCGACATCATCAACCAAGTAACATTATGTTCCCCTCAAGACGTTATTAGGAGTTTTCATGTTGTCAACAGAGACTGAGAAAATCAGTCCAATATAAGTACTTAACTGAATGTTTGATAATGTTACTTCAACGAACAATACACTATCAGTTCATAAACTTAAACGCTAATGGATAAAACAGATGAACAGGCTACCTAACTGGAATATATGCATTACTGTAATCACAAGCATAGCTATATTATTGACTTCAACTCGACATTAACTCATTCCTTACACAATGGAGGTAAACGGAATCATTTAACAAACAGGAATACGTTGGACCAGTAAAAAGACCCTAAACGATCTCGACTTTGCTGTCGATCTATGTCTAATGTCACATAAATTTGAAGACTTACAAGTGAAAATTAACAAGTTGGCAGAAAAAACAGGTAGTAAAGACAGGAGTTCAAGTAAACATAGAGAAAATGAAAGTGACAAACATAACCAATCACTACCCATAACAACAACAACAACAACAAGAATCACCAATAACCAGCAGTGGGAGAAATTTGAAAGAAGTCACTTCCTTCACTTATCTAAGCACCATGGTTTCAACTACAGTCAAATGACACTGATAAAAGTGTGATAAAACCAGTCTGAATCAAAAAGGAAAGGCAGACCTTCATCAATGTGAAATTAGTGCGGGAATCTTCTGCATTCAGCAGTGTTAATTCAATGGGTTCTTCTATATGGGTAAGAGATTTACCTCACGCGTCACGAAAAGCATTTCCAACAGGCCGTTGCTGTCTTTCATTAACAGCTGCCTTCTATGATTCTATAATGAAAATCAGATGTCGTGTCGGCCGGCCAAAAGGCTTAGAAACAAGAAATTCTGGGGACGATCCAATCAAGAACCGATTGCTCAACAGATATTCTGAAGAAATTGGAGATGAATAGGATACACGCTGAAGGGACAGCTGGGTAACATCATACGCCAGACCATCACTCTAGTAGAACCTGAATGTGGAACGACTAGTTGAACGTAGATCCAAGTTTGACATATGGGAGGCAGTGTGAAAAGGAGGAGATGAGAGCTTATGAGAAACCGTCGGGGACAGGTGAAGAGGAATGCAAAGAACAGGACGAAATAATAATAAGTAAACACAAGTGTCATTAAATACTGAATTCTACTTACTTTAGTTTCAGACAGTTTATTTCTTAATGATTGAACACATATGCGAAATATATTCGATGTGATGTATGTTTCATCCTCAGACACACCAATATCTTGAAGTAATGATAAAGCGGATTGTTTAAATGTTTTCTATAAATGAAAATAAAGCGGATAAATGGAAATAGTTTTTAATATTATAAAATTGGATCACCTAATGTAAACAGTATAATTTAACATTGGAGAGATGAGAAAATAAGAGAAAGTGTAGGTAAAACCTGAAAGTTATCTCTTTATTTTCCTTAGTATTATTAATCTTTATATCAAGTTTGATCACGGGGTTGATAACAGTTAGAAAAACAATAAAAACCAGTAGGGAGTGCTGCACGGTAGTTTTGTCCTGGCTTTGGACTCTTCATCAACACACACACACACACTACCATTCGAACCTAGATCCTTCTAGGTACTATGCCCAGTGGGACTAGACTCAAAGGTCACACCATGAATTCAAACTTCTATCAAATCGTGATTATTTAGGACAATTAGTACCAGCCTATGTGGTCCACGAAATATTTTTCCTCATTCCCCACCTGGTCGACTCTGCTGGACATGACTTCAGTGTTCCTCTAGTCGAAAAGAAATGTTTCATCTGTAGAGTCGTCTTTTTAGTGACTTGGCTCATTCAACTAGGCCACACGGCGTACACCACTGATGAACTCCGCCCTAAACGAAGGAAACGGACATCGGCTGGCTAACAAGCGCTGATGTTTGGTGTGAGCTGTATGCAGCTACTCACTTCAATAAATAGTAGTATATAGTTTTGCAACTTGAGCACTTTTGAGAAGTCATCAACACCTCACATGTGTATCTCTCTGAATGATCAAACACAGGATCATTAGGTCCCATGATGAGTGTGCCACCATGCTAAATCAGTTATATTGTATTTCAGTTCTTCAACATCCTGCAGTGAGTGTATATGTGTGTAGAGAATTTCACTTCATGAGAAAATTCAAATTGAATTCACTGAAATCCCCACTGTTCCAGGAAATGGTACCTTTAGGTGGATATAAAGTTCTTTTAGTAGTAGAAAGTTACTATATATGGCAAATACTCATCTGAATGTTTACGTCTCGTGATTTCGAGCATAGTTTCATCGTCTGCAGTCAGAGCAGCGTGCTCATACACAACACAAAACAGACGTTTCTTATACTTTGACTGTTTTCTAATCAGAGTCAAGCTAAGCACCATAGATATTATGTATGACAGCTAATGATACTAGCTCAGACTGAAATAGATGAAGCGAGTTGTGAACTCAGAATCCACTGAATAAATGTTGAGTACTTGAGCCAATTGCTTAGACCTCTAAAGTTTGATTTCAAAGGCTGTGTCATTCTACGCCTCTGCATCTCTTCAGTTGCATGTGTTGGATGTAGATGACATAAGTAGGCCTCCCTACACCTATTTCAATGTTAGTCAGTTAATTCATAGCACTACTTTAGAATTAAACTAAATTCACAACATTTAAAAAGGGCTCAGGATTTGCAGTGATGTGCAGTCACATGATAGGCTAAGACAATCCTAAACATTCGTACTTGTGTTCCAGATACTAAAAACCACCATATCACCACTAAAATGGAGGGAAACAAGTCAAGTGTACTCAATACTGTTTATTCTTTATACACTTAGAAGACCATATTCGCCTTTAACCTTAAAAACCTCCGATCTCCAAACAAATCATTTGCCATTTCTGTTAACTTTGGTAACTAACTAACTCACTATTCAAGTGAGATAAAAGTACCCACATTAAAAACGAGAGGCTTCCTTTGAAAATGCATGCTTACATTCTGTGTATGAAAATCAAAAATGCCATAGACTTACGAAACTTTGATGAGTATTCCTCTATATAAAGGGAAAATTTCCTTGAATATAATTATGGGAATAGGAAATCAGACTGATAAGAAAAAGCGTAAATTATGTTAAGTAGTGAAGTTTTATAACATTTCAAGATGGTTCAGAGGCGGTCATCTTTGATACTGTGCCATTGAATGAAGAATAATTGTATTGCGTTAGTATCCGTCGATCACAGGAATTATTAAAAGGATTTTCAAGTGTTTGTTTGCGGGAATTTGAGTGGTGACAGTTTTTCATCATGAGCTGACATCGGTTAGACAACCATTGGAGAACCAGTACTGGACAGCTATTTCGTCACACTCTGAAACTCATCGGAAGTATTCACCACTGCCAGGGTTAGAACTCAGGACATTATGGTTAAAAGTCGAGCTCGTAGACCACGAAGCCACTGAGACGAATGCAGCGAAGAAAATTTTCTTTCCGAAAAACTCACTAACTAGATATCTGTGCACTCGAGTAATTGTAGTAAATGGGTGCTGAAGTTCCAGAACTATATCTAGTCAAATTAAATCTGGATATAGTTGAGGCATTTGGCGACCAAAGATTTCAAGCATTTCACTCTAGGTGTTCAAAAGAAATATGTCCAACCGTTGTCTCTACCATGACCACCATAAAAAGCCACCTCTATCAATCATGATTATCCTTTTACCTTTCCTATCCAACCGTCCTACGTATTTGAACGTTTTTTTTAAAATTCCATTCTGAATTATTATTTTTGGCATGGAGGATTTCATCATGAGCTGACATCAGTTAGAGAACCACTGAAAAAACCTGAGAGTACTGGATAACTGTTTCGTCCTAGTTTGTAACTCTTCATCAGTACGCACCCACCCACGCATGATGGGAAGTAATTCTGGAACTGTCTTATCCATTTTTTACCAAAAATACACAAAAATGTATAGCTGTCTATTTTCTTCACTGCAACCATCTTTTTAATAATTCCTAGCATTTGTCGACGGAATACAACTTCTCTCAATAGGCGTCTGAGAGGTCATATGCAATTCAGTTACACGATCGCCTACCTCCATCCCCTCTTACTCAATGCAATGGCAAGTGCAGGAAGGCATCTTTTTGAGTGTGTGCTTCATAAGCATAATACTTCCTCATTTTCTTTGCGTTTCAAATGGAATATAAGATTCCAAGTGGTCTCATTTTTTTTGCCACTGGGTAAATTTGCTAGTTTCACGCCCAAAGCATCCCACTTTTATCGGGTTAACTAAAGGCTGGCAAACTAACGAGAGATGTAAACAGAAAAGTACGTTAACAGCCGGAAATCAAAAACAGAATCTCCACTTTTGTGCTGGCAAGGATTCTACAGTCTACTCATATAAGGCAAAAGAAATTGATAAAAAGCATAAAAAATATGATAAACTGTAATTTTTCCCTTTGGAAAGGAAAACAAAATGGTTCAGTGCTTACTTTTAATTGATGGAATTCCACGAGAACCTTATCAAGTCGATGGTTGAAACAGAATTGTTCAGACACTGCCAATCTCACAGTAAATCTTTCTTTGATATCATCACGTAATTTATTGATTTTATTTATTCTACTAATAAATAGTTCATTTTCATGAAGGACATCACCACATGAGGATTTTAGGTTGTCTAAAACAGAAATTTTTTTTAAATTATTACACGGAAAGGGAAATAAATAGTTCACTTAACTTATCACAAGAACAAATGAGCCGAATGATTAAATCCTAATAAATGATGTAATGGTATTTGCTTGACAGTGGTTAATTTTTTTATTCCTTTAAGTCCCTATTGAAACGTAGGGCTTCAAGTTAGAGGCTTGAAGTTTCCGTAGCAGAGGTGTTTATGTTTATGGGATGAGGTTGCTAGCTTCATGCCCAACCTTTCCTCTTTACCAGTCTTAGTACTGGATTAGGGAGGAAAAGGTGTGTGTCAGCCAGGGATCGAACCCCAGACCACCTGAGTGATCGGAGAGCACTCTACTGCTGTGTTTCCTACTAACTAGCACTCATCTTCTGGATGGATATACTTGCACTCTCACCGATCGATAGTATTCCCTAATGAAACTCAAACTCAGTACCCATAATTTAAAAGTCTATAACTGCTAGGTAACCAAAGTACCAGAGCCACAGGCTGTCCAACGGGCATCAGCTGTCATTTACTGAAAGTATCATTATTATGAATTTCTCGTTGGTAAATTATTCTGAACTAAATCGTGTCAGCAGCTCCCAGTACGGATACTTAAAGGATGTCTTGAGGTTCACAGGAAGTTATTCAATAGACAGGAAATTCAAAATAATGAAAATCACTATTGTTCCTTTGGATTCCAAGTGGGACATAGAGCTTCAACAGCACATCCCATGCAGTCCTCTTCAGTTGCCCCCACGATTTCTCATAAGCTGCCATCGCCTCCTTCATCGCCTCCTTCTAACACAGTTTCCTCCATATCAACCCGGAACTCACACTCAACACTTCGCTCTACATTCAGGTTCCACTCAAGTGAGGATCTGCCATATAATGTCACCCAGCAGTCCCCTCAGAGTGTACCCTAACCATTTGTATTTTCGTCAGCATATCTCTTGAGCAATTGGTTCTTGACCAGTTTGCTCTCCGCGTTCTTCGTTTCTGGTTCTTTCTGGTTGGCCGACACGCTATTTGAGTCAGCTGTTGATGAAAGTGTGCATTCATCCGTTGAAAATGCTTTTGGTGAAGAAAACCTTCTTGAAAAATTATCAGAAATGATAGTATTATTTTTGATGAACTATTTCGCGAAAACCTTTCATCTGACTAACCGATCCAAAAAATGTTTCACGAAGTGCTTACATACTTCATGGCGCGTCTGGGATGAAGCCATTCACTCCACAAGAACATGTGGGCCAGCATATAAACATTAAGGAGACGAGAAGCACCTTTAAGATGTGATTTTCTTTTAAGAGATAAGTGAGATGCCTTCATCAATGGTTCGGAAGAAAGACTTAGTTGATTTCTGCCTACAGTACAACTTCTATCCTTATACACAACTCATTTTATTTTTCGCTCTGTAGTTGTGACCAATTACAATAACTCATAAAAGGTTCAATCCAATTAACCTAAATCCATAGTTATTTTAAGTGTCTGCATCGAACGCTTACCGCCCTCCTCCACATCAACCATCAGCAAACAAAATCAGTTTTATTAATATATATGCAAAACTTGAGTACTTTGGTGGCATGCAATTCCATGTTAATTTATTTATTAGATATACTACACAGTGAAACAATATTACAGCTTATTGGATGACGTTTCGAATACAATTTGTTAGTGTTCGTAATCATATTAATCATAACCACACAACTTTGAAACTTCAGTTTTATAGTTTTCTTTATACTTTCCTATTCGTCATCGAAGATGTAGTAGAATTTTCCAGATGCCCTAGTGGACAGGTGTTGATTTCTTCCTATTAAACGTATTTTCAGCTGATTCATTGAGATAAAGCTTCCGTCATCAATCTGTCTCTCCAGCCCGTTGTTATATTAGATTTCGGGACTGTCAACTTACCCCTTCCTATCTGTGCAGTCGTGGGTAATTGCATGTCGTGCTATCTACGGCTAAACTGTTCTCAAGATTTCTTATCTTATTAGGGTGAACTAATCTAGATTTCGCTAGGTTTCGCACTCCGCTAGTCTAACTGCCTCCTTGCTGCAGCTCTGACTTATGTACTTAACCTGACAGTCATCCAGCAGAGGGTATTATATGAACTAAATTGCTTTGTTTAATGGGTTATTTCACAGGATTCTTTCACCAACAAAGCTTGTTTCTAACTGCGTTTGTGGGTCATTTGAATGGCACTTTGATTTCTGCATCACTGAGAATTCTACGTGAGGTTTCAAAGGTCCCTTTTTTGTACAGAAGTACTACTGATGATTTATATTCCCTATCGTTGATGTTGTCATTATTCTGACACACATGTTTAACATAAATTTCGTCATTAATATTACGATTAATATCACTATCACTAATATTATTATTTATTTTATTTTTACATTTTCGAAAATACTTGCTGATTCGTTTATTAGGGTAATTATTAAGTATCAAAGATTCTCTTATATGCCTCACTTCATGTCTTAGATTTTCTTTGATACTACTTGGTTTTTGCACCCTATTACTTAAACATTTCACCAATCCTATTTTTAGTGACATAGGGATGGATCATTCGAAATCTAAATATCACTTTTAAGAGGTGGGTTTTCTGTAAACGCATCTATGTTTATCTTCCAATCTTCTTCACTTTTTCTGCTACAGACTAACATTGGAAACTGCTCTTCCTGACTTCCCAGTTCACGAGTGAATTGAAGTTGTGCAGTTACAACTGATGATATAATTATGAACGACAATAAGTTGTATTCGAATCCTTGTCATCCGGTAAACAGTAATACTGCTTCACTCTCTGTGTTTGTGTGTCTAATATGTCTATTAAATGAATAATAATAATAATAATATGAAATAGCCAGTACAAATCGAATACTTGCTTAACAGACTATGAGAAAATAAAAGCCCTTTCACAGTGTTCAATCAATATGTGAGATATTCGCCAAAATTACTCAATAGAACTAACAATAACAACAACGATAATAAAACGTTTCAGATGAAACAAAAAATGGGTGTATCCCCCTTGTATCACATGTCTCCTCGTTTCGACTTTATGTGTATCCCATTTCTATATGTATATATATATACATATCTTTGTCGGTATGTTGCAATACCTCTTTATTATAAATAATTGAAATTGAGTAGTTAAAACAATGACGTACATTTACTTGACCCTAGATAGTGTTTGCATATTGCATAAATGCGCTATTTATTATCATGATTTCTTCGAATAAAAGTGCATATATATATATACATATTTAATAAACACAAAGCGAATTTCGGTGTGTTGCAGTGCATCATGTAGAATGATGTATAGATAACAGTCTGGCGAAAGACTCATTTACTAAAGAATGTAACACACCCATTCTATTGCAATTACTTATAGGATTTTGACGTTTTAGGCTACATGAAATAGAGTAAGATCGAAATTCATTCATTCAGTCACGTAGAAAGGTTTAGACTTCCTGACTGGTTGGGGTCCTCGGGACGGTAAAATCCAATGGCTGTCGCAGATGCATGCACTCCTTATGACTTATAATTTCCAATTAAACTATATTGTTCTTCGTTATTACTATGACTCTGTCTTATATCCCTGTTCACTCTCTCTATTTTGCATTTCTTCTACTTTCTTCTCTTGCTTTGTGTGCTACATGGAGGGAGTGTGGCGACTAGAACTGCTGCACATCGGTGGAAAGTTCTTTATTGAAAATAGACAGACAGACAGAGGCCAAGTCTGTCTATCTATCCATCTATCTATCTGTCTATCTGCTGACTACCTTCAACCAGGCATGACTCCCTGTCTACAGCCTCCAACCGTCTAATAGAAACAGTTAATTTACATCACTGATTATATACCAGTTGCTCAGTATAATGAAGCGCATATACACTACACAGTCACTGCAGAAGTCAAAAGAATAACTTCTTTAAAATATATCCACAACCAGTGATCGCCTTTCGAACACTTTCTGCTAACACAACAGGAAGCATGACAATTAACATTAGTCGGCGAAGTAAAGTACTTGAATAACATCACAGATATTATTTTGATAAAGAGTCCCCTGACTACATCTTAAGATAAGGTCAGCTGCCTTAATGTTCACTTCAGAAATTAATGAGTGCTGATATGTCATCTGAAGATAGACACTAAATTCATCTGGCACACAACCCATTTCACTTAAATGAGTAATTATTTCAGCTTAGATGATTTAGTTGAGGATAGCATGTTAACAAAGTTTGGCCGCTTTGGGTCATTCAACTTGGTGACTTATGAAATAGGCAAGACATCCATTTGTCGACTGAACGCAAAGCGTATCGCGCAATAGAATATTTGATTCTGAAATACCATGATTGAAAAAAGGTTATCTGTGTAGATTTCAAGTCTTCGACCATCACAGTTTTCTCAACACTACTCTTATTTGTTGAAATTGTTACGTTAGCAGTGAAGAAATTAAGCAAAGAAGTCTTTGGTAAGAGCCAATGTGGTACTTTGACCGAAAATAGGAATAGAATGAGCCACATACGGAAGTGTAGATTAGGGGAGTGTTATTAGAAGATAGAGATTTTCCGACAAATATGATGTATTTATGTAATACATTTCGAACAACAATATGACTAAACACATTGGCTTTTCAGATCTGTTCATATGAAAAGTGGAAAGTCAATTAAAATAAACAAGGTGAATAATAAGAATAATTAACACTAAATTTGCTTATCTAATCAGATAAGGACTACTAAGGTAGGTTGAGAATAATAATACACTGTGTTTGTACACACAAGGGGGGTTGAGGCGTAATTTTAATGAATAGCTATCGCCTCAACGTATTTCAATAAACGCCCTTGATCGGTTTTAGAAATTACTTTAAAAGCTGTTTTGGTATCAATTTTGTAGTTCATATCGAATAGGTTTTTAGCTATAGATGAAATTGGTAGTCTATCGATTTCTCGAAATTCATCTGTTTTCCTAACCATTTGAGATTATGCTCTCCCACCCTTACTTGTGAAGCCGATTAATCCCCGCCCCCCCAACACTTCCATATAAATTTTCATTTAGTGTGGGATGTGACATAATCACTTGCACAATCAATGCTCAGGCTTGTAGTTGAGCATATTTTCAGCTTTTTCAATAACTATAATCCGGGTTGCAATAGTAGGTGGTTCTATGGAGGACCGAGTTCACTTACTATCTTAAAATCCTCCTCTTCATTCCCCTATTGTATGGTAGATCATTTAATTAAAACACCTTTCTTACGGATGGAATATAGTGCAGATTTTCAAAAACTAACTGACTTCGACAGTGATTTCAAAATTTTTAAACGATATCCTTTTCTGATAAGAGTATTTACCAATATTTTTATTTATCTTTTTAATCTATAACACCAGCCATTTAATAAATATACTGAATCCTCTTAAATAAACACTTTAGCAAGCCTCTCCTATACTCTAGCCAACAGAAACTGTGACAAATTTTAAATACTATTCCTTTTCAAGTAGGCTTTCTATAAAATGACCAGTCGATAAAGCGAATCACGGACATATATATATATATATATATACATCTTTAAATATTCCCCTTATTCATATTAGAACAATACGTCGGTAGCACAGAGGTTAGGACTCTCACCGACCGTGCGTAAGATCTGGGGTTCGATCCCCTGCCGACGCAAGCCCGATATCAGTGGGCTACCGATATCACATCCTAAAAATGCCATACTTGTACCAAAAATACGGTGTAGAATCAGGCTATAATAAGAAAATGGTATACACGAGCAATATTGTTGATTTCAATTATATCTTATAAAAAGTTTAACCGATGGCGGTGAGTTTGTGGATCAAATAATAATAATAATAATGTTCTAAATGTTTAGAACGTCAGTAATAACGATGATTGTAATGATAACAAAATAATGATAATAAGGTTTATACAGGCGGTGATAAGAATAGCAAAGGTAGTAATATGTGTGTGCATGTAGACAATTCAATAAATGAATAAATAAAATAGGTCAAATCTTAAAAGTTATATAACACTAATATAATATGTTATAATACAGGGCGAACAAATAGATAGTCCAACAAAGGCATTTATTTGTGAGAATTTCTATTTTGACTCATTTGATTGATGATAGCGGTCACCAAGTAGACAGAAATATTGTCTTCAAAGTTATCTATCGCATTCCATCGAGCTTTTCAAAAGGAATTCGACCCCGCCGTTTACACATAGTCGAAGTTATGAGAATTCTACATAACAATCCTAGTCTTTGCACACAAAACAGGTTTGTTCTACCATTGTCCCTCCATTGCATTGCCTAAGTAAAGTCTACTTTAAACCCTTCATCCCTTTCTTATTTTCCATTTCCTTCGTACTTATATGGTATTTATTTAAACTCTGATTATCTCTGCCAGCTCCAACTTTAACAATACGTAACTTTTAGGATTTGACCTAATTATTTATTTATTGAATCGCCTACACATACACAAATATTACTACTTTCGTTATTCTTATCACCACGTGCATAAACTTTATTATCATTACTTTGTTATCATTAAAATCATCGCTTTTACTGACGTTCAAAACATTTAACATATTATTATTATTATTATTCGAAGCACAAACTCGCCATCCTTGGTTAAATTAGAATAAAGCCTGAAGACTACCTAATTGAAAGCAGCAATATTGTCCATTTATATGTCTTGTTCAAATATATACATATATATATATATCTCATTTACCTTCAAGGTGATCTAATTCCTCGAACCATCTGTACATCACTTGTAATCCATCACTGATGTGGCTGACACTGTAATCATTAGTATCAACCTTATCGTGCTGTTGACTAACAATCAGAGGAAGTAAACTGCCACTGCCAACAACTGTTGTCTCATCCTCCATAGGCTCTTCGTTGAATCGATTCAAGCTTGAAGGAAGTATTGACCATGAATTAAGTAGTCTTTCATAATTCTTGTCAAATTCACTAATACAATTAATGATGTCTTGGGGTAAAGTAGAATTCTGAAATTAAAAAAACAACAACAGAAAGACAATTCAAATATAACTCACTTTACGCTTGTGATCATTTATATAAAACCATTTTATTTGTGCAGGAATAAATTCAAACTTAAAGAATAGCATTTGGTGGTACTTAAGCTTGAGAATAAATTATATAAAAAGTGAGGGGAATTAAGTATTCAAAAATTGCAAATCACAGACACTACTAACTGATTCCAAGAGGATTCCAACTATACTACTCTTATCCATCAGTAATATATGTATATATATATTTATACAGCCGCCATACACTTGATTTGATCAAGTTAATTTAGAAAATCTTATAAACATTACTATTGTGCCATTGCTAGACATCTCGTCGATATGCAGGTCATGAGGTGGACGTTACGAAACGCTTTAAAATTCTCAACAGACAAAATAATTCAATTCTCTTCAAGTGCATCAGCCGAAGCAATCGCTATCGAATGCTTGAAACCCGATTTATATGTTCACAAAGAAACAGTTATCAGTCCTTCCTTGCCCTGGTAATCGAATTTCTTCATTCTGTATCACTTGGTTAAGTAATCTTTGGATGTAACCTCTTCTCCTTTTTACACAGTGCTTGTCTCTAGTTTTTATGGTTTGAGCTGAGCAAGTGACATTGTTACTCATTGTCTTCTTCACCTTCCATTGTAACCAGGTATTTTATTTATTTATTTATTTAAACTTGGATTCTCTACGTACGGACAACATAATTATAGTTTCTGAACACTGTAAATTAAATTTGGAGTCCGCTGTCATTAAATGACTGTGTGACATTCACAAGTTTATTAAAATTGATCTGGACACAAACTTAATAGTTTCTTTAGGCTGTAGGCAGATGGATGATGGCCTGTCGACGGAATTTACGACGGTGCCATCTCATTCTGAACAGATTATCGTTGTTATTCTTGCTCTTGGGGAGCCAGTTACATAGGCCGTACAATTAGGCGTGATTCTCATCGGATTTCCGAACATCACTCTGCGTGGTTAAGTAAACGGCAAACAAAATCCATTCGTAGCGCTATTCTATCTGATCTTGTGGATACAGAGCACAAGACTGATGTTAACGAGGCAGCTTTCAAAGTCATTTACCACATGTGAACAAATCCTAACTTCGTCTTAAGAATTCGTTTACTAAATATTAATGAGGCTGTGTCATTCGTGCAGTCCTCGTTGCCGCTGCAGACTAAATTCTATTGTGGTGAGAGCAGGCTGCTAGCCGATTGGTTGGCACTAATCTACGTTAAGGTCTAGGTCACTAATATGGGCCGTGAGAAAATATGAACAAGGCTGAGTCAACAACCAATCACAGCAAAGTCAACGTGGCAAAATATGATTCGCAGATAGAGAACTCTATTTGTCAAGGAATCCCGAAACAACCAATCAGAAGCCTGCGTTTGTCTACCTAACTTCTGATAAACAACCAATCAGATGACTGCGTTTGTCTATAATAATGTAGTTGAAATATGTATAAATACGTGTTGATTTTCATAATAAAACGATCTGTTGCCTGGCCCTTGTCTTCTGTTGTTACACTATCAGTCAACTTTGCAATGTGTCAACCATATTAGGTCTTGATAACGGTAATTTCAAATGGATTTGAGTAAAACGCAATTATACATAACGTCAGTTAGGAAACTAGCAGAACACTTGGGAATACTGGACAGCTTTGTCGTCCTAGTTTTGGACTTTTCATCACTACGAACCCTTGCAGAGGGGGGTGAACCCATTGTGACCTGTTCCAATAATTCATGAATCCTAACTTCTGGTATTTTGTATATGTCACGACCTCTAGCTAATACTATAGTAGAATAACTGGTCTGACTCGGTGGTGGAGTCTTAACCACTGGGTGCGTACTGCTGAAGACTCCGGAAAACAAGAATAAAACAGTTATCTAGAACTCCAGTATTGGTTTTCCAATTGTGTCTCTAACTGATGTCAACTTTTAATCAAACCGTTAACCTTTAGGGAAATCCCCGAAAACCAACATTTATTAATTATGTCTAGAATAATTCTTCATGAAGATAAACAATAGACAGACAATGTGTATGCTGGCATAGGGTTACAACTAACCTGTAGTGAGTCCGACTCTTGAGTGTATTCCTCCTCCAATGAATCGAATACATTTCTATCTTTGGATAATTCTGAAATTGCCTTCTCATCATTCGTCTGACTAAGACTAGTAATGACTTCATCATATTGATCAATCATATTCTTTAATTGATTTGTAAAATCCATCAAATTTTCAGAGATTAATTCAACAGAAATAACTGAATTCCGGATATTTTCAATATTATATAATGTTGTGGTTGTTGTATCTGCTGTCGAGGAATCTTGTTTCGCCATAGGCAATTTGTGAATTGAATATTGAAATTGTTCTACGGAATTATTCAGCTTATCAACAATGCTTCGATGATTATTTTGAACACTGTTCAAAAGTTGCTGATTGTACAGATGATAAAATAGATAAAAATAGATCAGAGGAAACAGAAGAGTTAATAATTTGACAATATTGAAATCATCAGCCAGAAAAATTTTAGAAATCACAAAGAACTTCTAGTATCGTCAGAAGTACTTCATATCCAATGGAATCCACCTTGTCTGAATAGGAATGATAGACTAAAATTGAATTTGACCTGGTTACAACACTTTCCTCTCATACGAAATGACAAAATCAACATAAATGGATGATAAGCTATTTCAGTATGTAAACATATGCTTCTTTTCTAATTTTACACACTTATCAAATCCAACAATCTACACCTGGTTTTGTTGTCTTTACCAATTGGTTGGTCAATCTGACAATGCAAAAATGACGCAACACTGAGAGACGATGATGAAGTTGTAATAAATACGCTGAGATTTTGTAAATTCTGGTTTACTAATACTACTCTGATAAAGCTATTAGCCTTAAGTAGCTGCTAAACGTCAGTAAAAATAGCTATATCGCCTTGTTTTTCATTTATTGGGAAATACGAAAAAGTATTGGTTTTGTAGGGATTTTGTTTGATTGTATGGAGGATTTCAGCATGAGCTGACATCAGTTAAAGAACCACTGGAAAACCCAGTGGCTCAATGGTCTACGAGCTCGCCAGCCTTGTAACCAGAAGGTCCTGGGTTCAAATCCCGGTGGGTGCGTAATGCTGAAGAGTCCCAAGCACTAGGACACAACAGCTGTCCAGTACTTCCAGGATTTCCAGTGGTTCTCTTACTGATGTCAGCTCATGGTGAAATCCTCCATACAATCAAATACGAAAAACCATTATTATTATGAATATAATATACCCAATGCCCAAATTTTCTTAAACTGTTAAAAGTCAACTTGGTTTGGACATACATATATGTATATATGTGGTAGTAATTTGGCCTAGAAAAAAAAGGTGTTCCGAAAAGCTGACTAATGTCAAAGATTGAACCATTCTTCATAAGTTAGTTACCAGTGTCTCAATAGTCTAGGAACTTGACTTGTAAACAGGAGGTTTCGCGTTCGAAACACCCCACCCTCCCCGTTGGTGGTGAGCAATGGTACTGAAGATGAGCGCCAAATTACAGAGAAATACCTCTCAAGTACTCAATGATGGTTTTCAGTGGTTCTCGAACTGATATTGACTACTCTATAGTGAACAACTCCTGTATACTAAATCAATGCTGTTTTGGTATCAGGTATAAGGTTACTTATGTGCTTAATGTTTTCCAGTTTCTTTTTTGTTGTTGTTTTTTTCTCAGTCAGATTCTTTTATACAACTAGAGTGTTATGTTGGAAACAAGCAGTAAAAGTCAACACGGCAGGATTGAATGAATTCATCAGTAGAACATTTATTCTAACGGTACAAGTGTGAACATAAAGCAAAGACTCTGAATGATATCCTATCTCAGAATACCTCAAATGAAAGGAGCTCCAGTGAAACTATTCAAACAATTCTAAAGACATTTGTATATAAAAGTGAACTATTCAAAGAAAATTATGTACAAACGACGACTCGATAAAGTTATGAAGAGAACTAGTTGTGCTGCAAAACTCATCTTCATTAACACCACCACCACCACCACTAAGTGGGTGCTTCAGCAATCTGCGAACGACTAGTTGCCAATCCTCGGCACTTCACACTGCCTTTATCAATTTGATTAGTGTGTATGTGGAAGTAAATACACAAGTTGTACAGAAAAGTAATTGTCTAGATATGATAGAGAAGATTTGTAGCTCAAATTGAAGTATGCGCTGAAGATGTCATCTAGTAGGGTGATGAAAGCTTCGCAAATTAACCATCCAGCTCAGAGAACAAAACCACATCAAAAAGTAATTGTCTACGCGTTTCAGATTCGGTGGAAATGGTTGAAGTCAAAGTGCCTAAAATTTCGATAACAAAGCATGTCTTGGACGATGGACATGATATTGATGCTCTCTTAAACAATTCACACTGTTATCAGGAGACAGACAAATAGGAAAATTGTGAATGCTTGTGCGATTAGAGTTTATGAACCAGGTATCTCTGTGTGTACAAGGGGAAACGGTCGCCACTCTGAATCTACCATGTTAATAATAGAAATTTTTCCTTCATATTTCCGGTGGAACATAGGGCTTCAAGCTAGTGGCTTGAAGTTTCTGTAGCAGTGTTTATTTCTACAGGATGGGGTTTCTAGCCTCATGCCCAACCTTTCCTCTTTACCAGAATTATTTCTGGCTTAGCGAGATAAAGGAGTGTGTTGGCTGGGGATCGAACCTCGGACCATGTACATGGTTGGCAACGTCCTAACCGCTGTGCCACCGACGCTACCATGCTAATAAGTTTTACTTATTAACTTTCATTATTATTATTAGTAGTAGTAGTATCATAAACACTTTATTCTACCTCTTATTATTACGACTCCTCATTCATTTAAAACTAACTTTTATCTGTAACATTATTTCAATGCTTTTTAACCCTATTGCAAGTGCAGAATTTGGACACTGTGGTGGAATTTAGTAGTGCATCGTTTTAACACAACTATTTTTATTACTTTTATTGTTACTTTTATCATCATTACTATTTTTTTATTCCTTTACGTTCCCAGTGGAACATAGGGCTTCAAGCTACAGACTTAAAGTTTCCGTAGTAGTGGTGATTATTTTTACAGGATAGGGGTTGCTAGACTCATGCCCAAACTTCCCTCTTCAGCAGCTTTTTATTACTGGCTTAGGGAGGTAAAGGAGTGCATCTGTAGCCGGGGATCGAACCCAGGACCACCTGAGCGGTCGGCGAGTACTCTACAGCTATGCCACCGACGCACCGCATTACTATTATTATCAATATTGTCTAGTTCACAATTCTTGGTATATATTCAAGTCCTTTCACTCACTGATAACTAAAAAACTGTTTATCTGAGTGATGTAACTGAACCGCATAAGGCATTTTATCCTAATTTTATATCTTTCCTTGTATGTAGAAAATTCATCAGCTGAGGAGGTGTTCTACCGAAATTCGAGGAATTCATTAAATTCTGTTTTATATAGAAAGATTTGTTACTTGTTATAAATACGTATCAAGAAATAAATGTCTCCCATTTTTACCAAGTTATTCTTCAAGCTTCAGACAATTCCATTTCTTCAACTGAAGAAAGACGAAATTCATGACATTCCCCCTGTCTTACTTATAAGTGACCAAAAGATGCTAGTGGCAAGATAGAGACGTTGATCATCGAGTGACCACTTCTCAAGAGACTAAAGTTACTTCTATACCAACTTCCATTCCAAACTGTAGACGAAGGTAGACAACAACAACAACAGATTATAAAGTGATACAAAGAAATCTCACCATTTCGACGATAAGCAAGAGATAATAAATCTAAAGAAGTAATCAACAGCTTCAGGCAAAAATTTCCAATCAAACCAACTCCACTCAAGCAGCTATCGAATCCAAATTTACAAACTTACCAAACACTGGTCTTTACCAGTTCGAAGAGTCTCCAGTTTTTCATAAATGACTAAAGTAACCTCTTCATTAACATCTCGACTGCTGACAATTGTCTGTCTACTGTTATTTTCTTCTGCCAACGGTACTAATAATACATCTATTTGACGTTGAATAGTCTTCAAGTAGCATGCCGCATAATTCATAGTGTCATGATACGTTTGAACGGCTGGCAAACATTCCAACTGTAGATTTTGATAAATAGTCATACAGTAGTTAATTAGTTGAGCCAATCCCCTGACAGTTTCATCAAACACTACAATTTCTGAATTGTTATTATCACTGTTAATAATATCACTGTCGTTATAGTCTCTACTCGCAAAGAGATGACATCTATCCTCAGAGAGGATAATTGGTCCAAGATGGCCACGTAACCAGTTCATTTCGCCTTGTATATTGTCAATTTGATCCTGTAGAAACGAAGGAGAAAAACATATTCATATAAGAAGATAATCATAGAAAGCTTAGGAAAGGTGAAGAATCCTCTTTCCGTTAAAGTTCATCTGTACTTCCTTAAATTCCCCGGATAAACAGAAGAGTCATTGTAGTGTCTGTTTATCGAATAACAACTCATCACCACATCAACCAGATGATGTAGCCTACCTGGTTGACAAATTGAGATCCTTATGATACGAAATTTTTGTGCTCGAACCTGCTTACACCGTTATTATCCAACAAATGGGGTTTCCGAGCTCCTTTGACATCTTTTGACAAAGTTCACCGTGAAGTAATCTATAAACACGAAGCACTGCAGTGCCTTTAATCCTTACCAACCTCATCCAACAGCTATATGGAAATACCAAATATCTAGAGATCTGCAACGGAGTTAAACAAAGCCGCATACCAACTGTAGTGGACTGGATTATGCAGAAGATTGTCAGGCGCCTTTTGATGAAGGTCTGCAGCTGCCTATCAGAAATGCTTTTCGTGACGTATGTGTTAATTTTCTGACCTATACGGAAGAATTAACTGACATAACATTGTTGTTGAGAATCTACATTGTATCGTTTATGCTCAGGAGTAAAGATTTTCATACTGATTTTAAAGCCATGAAGGTCTCCCTTGACTTTCTGATCCAGACTGGTTTTGGATTCCTTATCTTTGCCGTTGTCTGTGGCTGAAACGATGCTACTTAGCTGAATAGAGGAAGTGATAATTTGCAAAATTCTCCTGTTCATAGTTACCGATGATTCTTGTTGTTGGTTGATGGGTTGGTTGGTTATTTGCATCAGTTCCGTGGTCTCTATGTTTAATTGAAGTAATTACATTAGTAGAAAGGCATCTGAATACATGCGGGAAATGGTCTAAAACCATACTCTCCGAACCCCAACACCCCCTCTATTCCCAACTCTCTCCTTGCATCTCATCAGGTAGAACCAGAAATCAGTATAAAATAATATACGCTTGTACAACCAAGTAGAGAAACTCAACGATACCATATTTAACCAGTGTTCTAGATGACAGAGACAATGTTAAGCGCGAAACCTATGACTTGATTTGTTGGTAATAACATAATTTTGGCCCTTTTATTTCTCCCTTATATTCTCCTATTCGTACTCTATAGTGAACAGCCTTCTTAAGCATACTTAGCTGCCTAAAATTATTATCGTTGGCTTACTTTTTTATTCTTTATTCTATTCCTTCTTTTGTGTATCTACTGGTCCCGACTATATTATCACTATGAGTATTACAAAATTATCCTGTCATTAACCATCATGAAATATTAGTTTTGTGGTTGTTCTTTGTTCGGCACTATTTAACTGACAATCTTGTTTGTGAACGCCACTATCACCATCGTAAAAATTTTGTATTATGCATGATTACTCACTCTACCACAACAAGCACTGCATTAGTGCTGACAATAAAAATAAAAACCCTGAAATGTTTATTTCATGATTGTTTAGTGTAGTTCAATCAAATTAACTGATTCTCTTGGCTATAAAAATTCTTAAATATCATTTCATAACTTCTTGTATGATTATAGCTGTTACTGTTCACCACGCATAAACATATCATAGCTTCCACTACCCAAATACTGAAATATTTTTCATTACTGCTGTTTATTTTTCATTCTACTTCTTGGTATTTTTTCGCACTTTTTTGCTATTTTGTGTTTTTTTGTTGTTGTTTTTTTAAATTTTTATTTTTGAAATGCACCTTTTAAATGTTTGGCGAAATTAGATGCAATATTGTAGATAAACTGCTGAAAATTCCACACTGTATCACTAGTACTGTTTCTGCAATAAAAGCAAATTATTATTATTATATTTTTGCTGCGTGACTCTTCTGTAGCATCTTTGACTTTCGCTTGTAAGTCTTCGAGTTTGTGGGTCTTTGGAAACAAGTCGTCCACAAAGTCTCGATCTTCTAGAGTTATCTCGTTGGTTCAACATATTTATGTCCTCTCATTCCAAGAGTCAGTCGACCATAACTAGGAATACCATTGGTGGTAGTAGACAGCCTTGGCTAACTGCTGTATCCACTGAGCTTTCCGTTTAAGACCACCTGACATGTCAAACTGTCTCACTCTGACATATATATACATATATAGTTATCCGAGTGAATAATTCACTTACTGATATGAAATTCATAGCACCTTCAATAGCAAATGGTTTTGGTAGCTGACCAATTTCAGACGTCAGCAGAAAGTCAAACGATTGAAATTCTAAAAGGCGTCTGATGGTTGGTGTTAGATTCTTTGTAAGCTCTTCATAGGATGCAGTAATCTATAACAGAAAGGCAAAGAAGTTGAAGAAGCGAAAGAAAAAGTAAACGAACTAGCAATATACAGTAAAAATCAGTTATCAGTAATTAATTAATTAATTAGTTATCAACTAAATGTTTCGGCGGTTCACGGGTACAATAGTCGCCAGCCATGCCTCATGTGGTTTGAGGGTGGATACTCGGCTGATGCATAACTGAACCCCACTGCTTAGGTGGTGATAAGGCTGATAAAGAAGGCACATTTAGCGTAAAACAGAATGACACCACTGCTTGTGAAACGTCAAAGCTGAAGCTTTAATTCTCATGCATCACTTGAAACACAAAAGAATCCAATCACAGAAGAGTCATGTAAGACCTAAATACTCTTGACTTTAACAAACGGTGAGTGAAGTGAGTCTTTTTAGATTCAGATTCGTCAAACAAGCACACATGAAACTTGCCTTTGTTGTCAAGTAATTCATAATATCGAGGGAAACATTTATTTCCTAATGTACCACTGTTATGAATGCATCGTTTACTACTGACCCATTACTGACGTGCCCATTTTTGCCTATTCTCGAAAATCTCTAGTCAATCAGATATCGTCAGGTGTCAAGCGCTACGTCGGTTGTCGACTCAAACCTCTGTATTTTTCCTTCTCACCTGATGCTGACTAATGACTGTTTGCAGGAAAACGTTTCCTTGAGTTCCACTGAGAAGTTGTTACTAGTGCAGTCCATCCGATAAGGAGTGCGGACAGCTGCTCACCACAGATGACAGTGGCTGGTGCTAGTCGCACTAAAATCCCGAATGGATAGAAGTTAGAATTTATGGACTGGGTATTGAATCGGGTCCTAATGGCTGAACAGTCTGAACAGAGCCCGCCTTGCAATCTACAGGTCCTAGATTCGAACCTCACAGGACGAAACGGTTGTCCAGTACTCCTAGCTGGTTTTCCAATGATTTTCCAACTAATGTGAACCTCCTGTCAAACTTGAAACAATTCAAATCCCTACAAACCAACTCCTGAAGGTCATTAGACAATACCAAAAGATGAAATTATCTCTGATTAGTTTAACCTTCAAGTTTATACTGTCATCATGAATGCGGAGCATTTTTTGCTTTCTTAAACACTTAGTATCGACGGTACTGTTAAGTCTGTCGGTCATTTCGTTCTCCTATATATAGACCAGGAACTTGGCTCATGATTGACGAAAAATACTTATAACAGGTCAATGAACACTCCTCAACATCTTCTACCTTCACCAGTAGTACAATGAAGACCAGTTGGACTACCGACTGACCAGAAAGATTTAACAACACGAAACTCTGGCGGTCAGCGAACCAATCAAGAAATTATTGCCCAGTAAAAATATAGCGAAAAAGATGTTGACGGAGAACGACAACTTGGGCATGGGTCAGTGGATTAGATGGAGGGATTGTGCGAAGAGGAGATGACAGCCAACAGACAATCGTGAAGACAGCTGAAGATGACGTCAGAGAACAGGAAAGAACAGTGATGTTCTTTTGAATCTGTATATTGCACCAGGAACTCAAGAACTTAATAATAATATTCTTTTCATAAATGTAATTAGTAATTATCAATGAAAGTTTCTTATTTTATTTCGGTAACAAAAAGAATGCTTACCAATTCACGAAATACTTTTGGCGTCAATTGTTGTGTTAGATTATTCCATGTAGTAGGAATAGTCCTGCCTAAGTGTACATTCTGAGTGATTGTATTCAACTCCCCGTCTATCTGTTGTATAGTCGGCTGATGACAGTCTATGCATTCAACCAACTCTTCATATTTTTCCTTGAGCTCCACACGTTTTATGAAATCTTCTGGTTGAATTTCATCTATCAAGCAGAGAAGTGTAAAGAAATTAACATAAACGTTGATGTTGTCAAAAATCAAAATAAATCACATATGAAGAATGACGAGAGTTTAATGAACTAAAAATATTAGAGAGAAGAGAACATGAAGTTCAACAGAAAAGTTGTTGATATTTTCGGCGATTTAATTCTCAAAAGCGCAGCTGTACAGTCACACTTATATACATAAGTTTACACAGATATAATCATGATTATTATTTCCTTTAATTCCTAGAGGAACACAGGGCTTCAATCTGGCGTCTCTATTGCGTTCGGTTCTCTGCTAGAGTTTTCACCTGGCTCCAAGTCTGCCCACACGCTTTCATCTTCTCTTCACATGACCTCCAAGTAACCCTCGAACTGACGATCAACTCGCCGCTTCCCTTTCGGGTCACACTCGAACAGTGACTTGTCTAGTGATGTCACTTGATGGTTTCCGCAGAGTATGACCAGCCAATCCATCTCCATTTCTTCCTGCCTATTTGTTGTACAATCGGTTCCTGGTTGCTTCGCTCATTGCCAGAGATCCCTGTTGCTGATCTTTTCTGGCCGGCCATCTGATCTTGAGTTTTGGGAGAAGGCAGCTAGCTGTTGATGAAGGTATGTAGTTTGTTTGAGATGTTCTTTATGACGCGCAGTGCAAGTCTCTGATCCGTATAGTGAGTAGCACTAACTTCACATTGAACTTGAAAATCCGGATGTCATTTTTCATGGTGAGCGCTGTTGAACTCTACACAGACTTGAGAGTAATGAAAGCTTGCCTTGCTTTCCCGATTCTTGCTTTGATATCCTCGTCAGTTTCGCCTGTAGTTGAAACGATGCTTCCCAGGTAGGTGAAGGAGGTTGTTTCTTTCAGGTTTCTCCCATTCACGCTGGCTGATTGTTGTCTGTCGTTGTTGTTGCTGTTGGCCAAGAATCTTCATCACCTCTGTTTTCTCTATGTTCACCTGTAGTCCTATCTTTGATCCTTCTTCTGCCAACTTGTTGCTTTTCACTTGCATATCTTCCAGTTTGTGGGAAATCAGACATATATCATCATCGGCGAAGTCCAGATCCTCCAAGTTTTTTTGTGATTATTATTATTTAATTTCTTATAATAACGGAGAAGGAGGTTATAGGTGTGATATTAATTTCAACGTGATGTGTAAGTTCAAGGGTCCGAATATCGATTACAAAAGGGTAAGAAAATAGTTGCTCGTGAACAGCTAGATACATAGGTCGTTTTGTGAGGGTCCTATTAAAACGTATTAGAGAACATTATTCAGCATGGCTATGGTGGAGAGGAGGCACTGATTCATCAAAATCGCCATAACTGGAGGCCTTGTCAACACCTGTCACAGTATCTCAACTGACTCATCCATCATTCAGTCACTTACAAAGTAAACGGAAATCTACTAGAAGAAGTGTGTTTCTGTCTTCTTCGTACTGCAGAAGCTCACACTCTCAAACTTTCCATTCAAGTTAACGATTATTAGCACATCTTTATCTCCCTTCTTCTTCTTTGTTATGTAGAATTAAACAAGAATGATTGAATCTATGTAGACTTAAGTATATAAATGCGACTGACTGGGATTGCCGTAAAGAAGATTTCAGTTTGCTGAACTTCTTGTTCTTTTCCTTCTAACGTCCTGATGGGTATTTGCCACGATCCGAAATATCCCAAGGAGCAAGTATATATATATATATATATGTATCTACACCATTAACTGACAACCATTTTGACCCATGTCATGAAGTGTCTCCAGTCACCGGATTTTACCATCCGGAGAACCTCAACCAGTCAGGAAGTCTACACCTTCCTCCTGTGTAGTTGACTTAAACTAAATGTTGTGGATTTCACTGACTAGTGAAGCTATGTTTTGGTTTGACTACTACCATTGGATCTTTCCCAACCTGACCCAATGTCAGCTAACATTGCCCGTCGAGGAAGGCACAAAGTCAATAACACTTTCAGTATCCCTCATCCGATTGACTGACAAAACTTTCACATTTAAGTTGAAATTCCAGTTTACAAAGAAATGCTTGAAAGGCAGTTGTCAGTGTTGATGAATACTGAATGGTTTGTTTCTTCGAACTGAACTTCACTGAACGGAAGATAACGGTAGCGACCAGTGGCTTAATCGTATGTTTGGTTACCGCAGGACCGGAGAAATACAATAAGAAGAATTGCACACTGTACATTTTATTGACGTTTATTGACAGACTTTGCACACAGTAACGTGTCGTCCTTTTTTGTAATTGGTGGAGGAATAAACAATTGTATTATCCTTCCGTGTCGGTTACTGCGCGTATAGTATTCGGCGTGTTAGGCGTACTCTTCTGAAACCAGCGATAAGCTGAGATCTGGGTATTTAACATCACTTATCCTTAAGTAGATATAATGTCATCTTCACTAAAAATCAATTCACTCAAGGCTACATTAAGCATTCTTTTCCAATGTTGTAAAGTTCTAAATTGTTACTTTACTTTGTCACTCTGACATCCACTCATCATGTCATACAAAATTTTTATAAACTTAACCACTGAATTTAATTGTGTGTTACCAAAATCTTTTTTTAGTTTATTTTTCTCTGATGATCTGAATTCTATATACGTTCGTTACCTTTTTATTTCCAAAACGATGACATTCACAAATGAGCAGATAAATTTTAGTCATACTAAGAATTGTAGTACCACAGTTAGAGTAGATTTAAACAATGAGAACAGTCTATTTCTGTTAGGATGAACTAATTAGAACAAGATGCAGATTTTCAACACAAATGTGAAATCAGTTCTTCTATACGAGTTAGAACCTTGGCCAGAATGTCACGAACAAAAATTTCTAACAGGCCACTGCAGACTTTTATCAACAGCTGATGCCTTCACTGGCTCAATACTGGAGATCAAATGGCGAGAAAGAATAAGTAACAAGAAACTCTGGAGTGGAAAAAACCAGCCAAGAACCTAACGCTTAACTAAATATGCTAGAGAAAATGGAGGTGGATCGGGCATACACCATGTTGTCGGCGTGCGTCTTAACCGCTGTGCCACCGTTGCAGAAAAGTAAAGACTTTGCGAAAAAATATTTTTGAAAAAAATTTATTTTCAGAAGAAAAAGCCAACCTGATTTAATCGACGTGAAGTTTCCTATTGAATCCGACTGTAGCATTTCATCACTCTCATTACAGCTGATAACATTCGATGATTCACCGTCACTCCATTTAGAGAAGTTAACATCACTTGTTACTTCAGTAAAACTGCTCAACTTCTCCGTATCATCAATACTATGTTTACAATGACAGTTGACGAGTAGACTCGATTTCGTACGATTGAATGAGGAGAATTCTAATGTAGTCTCAAAAGTATCTTGAGAATCTCGTGTAGAATCATCTACATCCCAGCGTCCCTTCACATCACCGATATCATTACTGTTCATATGATTACTGTCTGAAGTTTGGTAGGCAGAGTCATTTTGACTCTTCTCCGAATCATCATTCCTTTCTTGGTAAATACAAAACGTATCCAACACCATTGTAATGTGATCATCAACAAGCCTGGTGTTCTCATTGGCCAGATCAATTGGAACTATGTGTTGTTGAAGGCTGTAACAACGACAAAAATGCAAAAAAAAAATCACAATGAGCTGGTTGTAAACATATTGATCAATATTGTCTACACAATCCATGTCAAGTCTTTTTATAATAGTTCTAGTAAATAATCGTCATTTTTGAACATTTATGCAAACCTGGTGTATTTAAAAACACAATAATGACTCCCAAACGCTTCAAATAGACATACTGTGGTGTGTACTACTGACAAGATTTGCCATCAGTAGTATATAGACACAGATTGATAGGAAGTAGTCAAAACTGAAAACAACTGACATTTTATGACAGTGGCTGCAGAAGTAGGAAGAAGCATTTACCTCTCAAATCTGGACCAATCTAAAGAATCTAAAGGCATGACCTTCAGAATATCAGCAACCAATCAGAACGGTTTACTATCATCTATTGACCTAGCTTATCATAAATGGAGCTAAAAATGTATAATTATGGTGTGGTTTTCCTTAATGAATATGCTCCGTAACCAAGTTTTATTTTGCCTTCTTCCGTTACGATACCACTTGGTAGTTGAGAGTCAAATGAGCAAAACTATATACTACGGATTCAGTGAAACGATTAGTTGCACACCACTCACATCATCGACCAGCAGTGCTAATTAGCCAACAATATCGAAGTGATCTAAATACCAGATGGCTGTCTGCATCACTTATTCACGGATGAACTCATCACTGGTGTACCTAGTTTTACTTCACTGAAAGCGATAGCCGAATATCGGACTATCTAACTGGTAACACTTTCAATGAAATTCGAGGCTGGTGGAATTTCACTTCATCATTTTCTTATGGTTTCCAAAAGAAAAACCAGACCACACATCATGATCTGCTTCATACCGTAAATATTAGTCAAAGAAGTAAGCGTAGACATACAGGCACACTATTGATTCACATGAGCCTTAAGCGACTACTCGTCTCAATCAATAAGTAGTATTTGTTTTTCTGGATTTATTCTCGCCTCCCTGATTACCATTTATGGTGTCAAGCAGATGACACACTGCAGTGATTTGAGTAGTTCTGGTTTCCAAAGGAAACTGTATGGTGAAATTCCCCCCCCCCTATAACGGTGTAAATTGCACTCTGAGCTTCAGAGAGAGATTTCTGCAAAGAGTAGAGATCGTTTTGGGCTCTTCTGTTACAAACATGTACTGTGAATGTCATCCCAGTAGCTTCCATGCCAATCGCTTTTCTCCGTTGTTCGAAACGGGTGGAAAACCGAAGGGGTGTAAGAGAGATAGTTCTCTTCCACTGTTGTATCACGACCACCTGAATGTGGCCCAAAAGGTCTTACGACTCATTTAAACATATGCGGTTTCTTAAATCATTTCTCAGACTAATCACAGATTGAATAAATACCATAGACGCTAAAGAGTTTTTGGAAGCCTGGTATTCAACTGAGTCAGCAACTGACATCGACAAGATTTACCAATCCATAGGGAAGAAATCTCATGCACAAAAAAATTAAACTTCAGTTCAAGGAAACAATCAGCAGGAATACAAATAGACTAGAAGATGTGAAAACACACAAAGGCAACTAATCACGACATTCAAGCTAAACTCGTGGAGGAATTTAAAAGCTCTCTTCAAATTGAAGCATGTTTTGAAGATCTTGTCTAGTAAGACAAGAAAATCTTAGCAGCTAAACCATCCAGCTCAGAGAACACATTTAACACCAAAAGCACCTACTTGGGCAACAAATCTTCTCCAAATTATACCTGTTATATTCTTAAGGCACAAAAAAATTATTGCGACATTTGGACGATCAACGACCGCCTACACAGTTAAAACTCGATATTGACTTCATGATCTGAAATAATCTGTCGGCCTCTTCACTGTCTACCTTCTTCTATTTAATTCTGAATAAGTTCACTAATCGAAGTATGAGTAATACAACAGATCTTGAAGATACACAAAATCATCGATTTCTTTACTTCCTCTTCCTAACATCCTGCGTTTGGCATGAGCACAACTCAGTTAACTGTTCCATCCACCAGAAGTAATAACTGCCATGAATGAACATGCCTACAACTGGAGCATACAATATTTTCCTAATAGCTTTAAAAACAGTAAAATTGTAAGTTGTCTGAGATGAATAACCATTTGCGTTCCGATTGGAATATAGGACATCTGGTCTCAGGCTTAAAAGTTTCAGCAGCAATGATGTTGTTTTAGTGGGGCGAGATTGCTAGCTACACGCCCAACCTTCCGCTTTGACGGGCTAACTATAGGCTGGGAGACATTTAAGAGTGAGACAACTGGGAGTCGAACACGGAACATTTATAGGGCTGGCGAGTACTGTGCCAGTGCCTCTGAGGTCAAAGGTAATAGAAATTAGCGAATAATAAGTAAACCAGCCATCTACATGATTCATGAGGTCCCATCAGCAACCTTTTCATTAGGGTTGTTGTGACTTTTAAAATAAGTGTGAAGCTCACAGCATTTACGACGAACACATCATCTGCAACACATTCAGAATGGAAATTAATCCATACTAGTTATATATTACTGTCGTAAAATTAGGTAGGATTGAAGCGAAGCAAACTAGCCACTCAAATATTTCATCCCAGGCAAACTCCATAAATTTTACCTATAACAGTACTATGCCATCAGTGGAGTTTTAATTGAACCAGCCTTCTCTCCTGAGCGTGAATTCAATCTCTATGAAGTTCGATGTAGACAGAGTTACATCCCATCACCACATGTGTAATAAGATTACAAAGTGAGAGAGTCTGACAGTCCAATAACACAAAGATGACATCAATATAGCCAAGGCATTTACTTACCAACTGAAATAAGCACACGTCTTGTAGTGGAAATCTTCTTCAAATACTTGATTTTCGTCCATTCGGGCAAATTCATCTGCGCCACTTTCATCATTATCACCTGTACGGGTAATCTGTTCATCTTCATTAAGGCAGGATAATCCCGCTGATGCTTCAATAGAGTTCCGTGTATAATTACCATGAGTTTTGATGACTGATTCACTATAGTAATTATAGCGGGTTGATGTAATCTGTCCACACTTTGCATAATAATTATAATTCTCATGATTGCATACACGTTGATCATTTTTCTGTTCATCACTCACACCTTCATTCAATCGTCTTTTACCACCGACTGACGGCACAGTGAGCACAGTTCTATATGTTACAGGTGAACCGTAGTTGAATGGATGCATTTTCGGAAAGAGCGTATAATTCTTATGTCGCATGAAATTTATACGCTATGAAGAAGATAATAGACGGAAAATACAGAAACAAACAATATACACTGATAGAACATGTATAAAGAAAAAATAAATTTATCGTATTACATAATAACAAGAGTATTGAGTGAGAACAACTGGAATGCAAACATCAAAGTGAACAAATGACTAGATCAATCGTTAGACAGGAAGACAATCCTTTGAAGACACTGAATCATTCTTAACTCCGAGAAATAGTTCAGCGGACTTGAGTACATGACTTTCACTGAAACTGAGCACTTGACACTTATCACACAGTAAGTGTGACGGATAGCCTAACACATGTAAAGAATCTCTACCAGATAACCAAGTTCAGTGACACAAGGAGGAAGTCTTGTAAACATTTTGAGTAGCTACCCAAAACTCTTTATCAGTGTCTTACAGAATGAAACTAATGTACGTGAATTGCACATGCTGCCAGAAGTACCTTAACTCTGCAAATAGAGATAGTCGTGGGACTATAACAAATCGAATGTAAGTGTAAAACTTGAGCAGTGTGTGGGAGAATGTAATTCCATACATTAGATAAGTTCATTTTCAATATCTCACAGTGATGATGATGCAGTATTAACAACTGGATGACGTTTACAGTAACTTTCCACATCTTCGATATACGCGTTGCATCACTTCTACTGCACGTATGCGGTGTTGAATCAATAAACAAAGATTCAGTGGTTAATCACTCTCCGTCTCTCCCTCGCTCTCTCTCCACATAACTATATCACTTTTTATTACTTTCACACAGTCCCACTCACCCTATTTTGTGATTACATAATAATAATAATAACATGCAAGTGAATGCAATAATTAATCTGCCTGAGTCAACTATTCTACCTCCAACTAAATTTCTATCTTCAGATAGTCTAATTCACATTGATCTAGTGGTTTGACTGACCTATGCAACTGACCTCACAGCTATTACATCTTATTTAGTAAATTATGCTATTTACCTTAATTGCATCTCTTGGGTCCGTAAGCCAACAAAGTTTATCTCTGAGACAGTTGGTTGATTGGGTGGTTTCAATGCAACTCTAATTCCAGCCACATTAAGAATCCTACATAGGACCACTTATAATCCTTCTCTATACGACAGTACTAAAAAAGCTATGATGTTCAGATTATCTTTGTCATTTTCATTATTAATTCAGGCTTTTTAGGATTCTTCATACACTTCGGAATAAATTCAGGTGGGTAGTGTGTTATTCACTAGTAATATTTACTTATATCATGAGCAGACATTTGTTAGAGAACCATTGGGAAACCTACATGGAGTACTGGGCAGCTGTTTCGTCCCTCCTAGT